CACTATTTTTCCTACATTAAAAGTGCAAAGGATTACTACAGTGCAAAACCCCCCCAAACAAAACCCTAAACAAACAAATAAAACTCCAAACATTACCACCCCCTTCCCCTCCACTCCAAAGCACAAACAAATTCCACCACACAAACTCCCCAAATAAACCCCAAAGGTATTTAGTTACATGAATCCCTCTGGATCCCAGTGGCTACATCTTCAGCCCTGGTGAAAAAAACAACAGAACAAAAAGACTTTCTTTAAGGGAAGGCAGAGGTCAAATAAGTGATGTGAGAAATTCGATTTGCAGACAAGCTTTTCATTAACTCCCCCTTTATGCTGTACAGAAAAAGGACATCTCAGAACTGAAGCAAAATGCTAAAACTGCAAAATGCCCATTTTGCTCCTATGCTGAGGATGAGATTTGCATTACACTGCAACTTTTATCAGTTTTATTATAGGGATGAAAAATTATTTTACATTTCACAGAATTTATAAATAAATATTGCAATGAGAAAGTGAGACAAATGATAAGCTGAAATGTGGAAAACTGGCCTGTAAGCAGGTGAATGAATTTCACTGCAGAGTAAAATCAGTTCATCTCTTTGACAAGAGTGGTGCTGCTGCTCTGAACACTGCACCTTAAAATAAACTCCCATTCCTTTCTGCTAATTATTACTACCTTCATGGTTATGCAAACATTCACTCAACTATGCTGAATTTTCTGACTGCAGAGATAGGGATGGATCATTTAGTCAATCAGGTAAAAGAGAAATAACAAAATAAATATGCTTTTGTTCAGGCAATTTGTCATTAATTCCTTTGAGCTTTTTTCCCCAGTAACTCTATTTTAGGAAGAGTTTAACACTCAAGTTGTGCCCTAATTACTACCACATGAATTGTGATGATAAAGTGAGGTTTTAAATAATCTAGTCATGATTAGGTACATTTATTCATAATCAGAGATCATTGCTAAAATAATTTTTAAAATGACAAGCAGATAAAGAAACATTTAGCATAGTTTTTTTCTTTCTTCTCTCATTCTCATAGTCACTTTACACCATATTTTTCATAGATTTGGGGCACAGCTGGCCAAAACATAGCTGTTTCCCAAAAGCGAACAACTAATTTATTAACTAGTAATCTACAAATATTTCCTACTTCAATATTTTAACTTTTTAATCATTGAATTCTTTGCCTGTCCCATGGGCACCAACACCTTTCATCAGACCAGGTTGCTCAAAGCCCCTTCTAACCTGGCCATGAACACTTCCAGGGATGGGGCATCCAAAGCTTCTGTGGGCAGCCTGTTCCAGTGCCTCACTACACACACAGGAAAGAACTTCTTCCTAACATCTAATCTAAACCTACTCTTTCATTTCTTGCCTTATCACTGCATGCTCTTGCCCAAAGTCCCTTCTCAGCTCTCCTGAATCCCCTTTAGGAACTGCAAAGTGCTATAAGGTCTCCCCACAGCCAGGGGAAATCATGTTCCTCCAGGGTGAACAGCCCCAACTCTGTCTGTCCCCACAGCAGAGATGCTCCAGCCCCTTGATCAACTTTGTGGCCTCCTCTGGACAAGTCACCTTCTTGTTTTGGGGACTCCAGAGAGGGATGCAGACCTCAGGTGGGGTCTCCCAAGGGCAGAGTAGAGAGGGACAATCCCCTCCCTTGCCCTGCTGCCCATGGGGCACTGGGTACAGCCCAGGACATGTTGTTTGGTTTCTGGGCTGCATCCAGAGCACATTGCTGGGACATGCTGAGCTTCTCACACACCAACACCCCCAAGTCCTCCCCAGGGCTGCTCTCAATCCATTTTCCTCCCAGCCTGTGTTTGTGCTTGGGATTGCCCTGACCCCAGGTGCAGGACCTTGTACTTGGCCTTGCTGAACCTCATGAGATTCTCACAGCCCCACCTCTGAAGCCTGCCCAGGTTTAATAGTAAAAAAAAAAAAAAAAAAAAGGTGTGCAAACTGAGGGCTATTTTAAATGCTAAAAAATTAGTAATTGATATATAAATTGTGAGCAATAAAAATTAACTGACACCTTAGAAAATATTAATTTTTAAATTTTAGTTTATTTTATTGCTTAAATATAGATTGCACAGTGTGTTCTTACATTTATTGAAACTGGTTCATTACATACAGTACAGAATATATTACCATTGGAACAACAGACAAATTAGCCCTACTCTGGTTTTGGACAACAGGCTATTTCTACCTTTTAGTATGACCATGAATTTAATTTATCTTAAAATGACTCACTACCAAAAGCTATATTTTTTTCAAGATGACATAATAGGAAAGAGAACCCCAAGCAACAGCCGGAATACATTGAAACTGGGTACCAATTATAACCATTAAGACAGTGCTCAGTGTGTTGCAGATAACACAGGGCCAGTTTGCATAAGGAGCTTTTAAGTTCTGCAGCTTGTCTGAAGAACATGAAGAGAAGTGAAACAAAGCAGTTTTGTACTGTACAACAAACAGCATTCTTAATTCTTTTGGTTTCATTCATTGGCTCATATGACAATAACTACCAAACCAATACATTTTACAGTCACTCCCATCTCCCATGTGTCTAGAAAGGCCAGAGTGAACCAATTATCAACTTACAGACTCCTCAGAGTAAACCAGTTATCAACTTACAGACTCCTCAGTGAACCAATTATCAACTTACAGACTCCCTGAATTTCCATAAAGGAAGAAATGAAATATCATGTGAACATACAGAGCGTTACAAACTTTTCACTCCCTGCACTACACCTGAACAACACCTGCATTTCCCAAACTGAACATTGGAAACACAGAAACCTACCATTACCATAAAGGAAAAATATTTCATTAACAGAACAGAAAATGAAATGCTGAATCTAGTTTTTTCACATGCAGCATTCATGCAACAGAATTCAATCACAGAAACAATCCTGTATTTACAGCACTGTCTCCATACTGCACAAGTGCAAACAGAAGTACATTCTGTATTACTTAGACTCCTCCTTTGTGTACAAAAGTGCCAAGTGTTATTCTTAAAAAAATGACAGAGTGGGTAGGTTTTTTACATTGTATCCCTATGTTGGATTTACTTTTTAAAAAATTACAGTCTTTATACAGGCCAAAAAGTCTTAGTCTTACCTTAAAAAAAAGGAAAAAAAAAGTGAAAACTAAAAGCTAGAGTCCTATTTATGTGTAGACTGTGGTCTGATCAGGCTGACACGCTGCAGCAGTAAAAATCACAACGGAATGCTGTAGATAAGGGGTTGTTTCGTCATCCACTAACAGCTGTGATTGCACTGTTAAACTGAAAAGAAGGTCTCAATTACCTTTTGAGCTTTGTGAATGCTTTCTGAAACTCAGCATGTCATCTCATAGGTTTAAGTAGCTGATATTTCTCTATGTCATGCCACATCAGGCCTTTAAATACTGGACTACTGTTCAAAAAACTTAAAATCCTTTTTACAATGGGTTTGCAAAGGCTCCAGTCAGCAAATCAGCAGGGCTAATCATCCTTCAGGTCACGAGTTATGCAATCAAAGATTAATTTAGGTTGGGACTTCTGAAAGTCATCTAAACCAAGCTCCTGCTCAAAGCAGGCCTAACTGAAGTTCAGTTACTTTCTTCATGTTCACTGTTCATCCAAAACACTCAATTAAATGTCTACATTTATTATAGATATTTGAGAGCATTCATTCATGTTTACACTGCCCCAGTCAGATTCAGATAAATTAAGGGACTTCAGATTTACTATTCATGGCATCAATGAATGCTGTTTTTCTTTGTTTGCTGGCAGGATTTAGTGAGTCATAAAGACAACCTTGATAATTATCATCAAATGTCCAAGATTTACTTTATCAATTTTACTTTATTTACATTTGAATAGTATATGCTCAGATACATAAACCTATGAAATTTACCTTAAAGGTTTGAGAAATGAAATAAAAACAAACACAGAGATGCGTCTCTAAAAATGCTTTTGCTTGAAAATATATGTAATAAATTCTTCATCTTTAAATGGTTTAATTGAGTTTACTTTCAATTTCTAAAATATCACTAAAAAGCTGTTATAAACTACAGAGAAATGTCTCACAGAATATAGTTTTAGTATTTATGATTTAAAATGCCCTCAGTTTATTTTCTGCTATACTAAATATATCTCTCCTGTATTTATACTAAAGCAGACAAAATACTACAGTGTTTTCAAAAGTACAGTCTGTAAACCATACATCTTAAGACATGAAATATATTGCACAAGTCCGTGCTTCAAGAGGAGATTTTCTCCTCTCTTATGCAAAGCTTAAGATTTAACTTTTAGCAAGAAACACAGTACATATACTGGATGTAGCTATCTAAAAAGCATGTTATGTGATGCATCAAAATATACTTAATAAGTGCCCATTAATTCATTCACTGTATTTGAACACATGTAAGGTATTGGTTTTTCCATCTATTCCAAACCAAACAAGTTGAGCAGCTGTGACAGCAGGAACAAGAGGGAGCTCAGGTAGGGCTCCCCTGGTTACATTGAATGAGATGAAGCAAGCCAAAAGCATTCTAGTTTGACATAGAATTGAGGTGGAGAGGAGTAAAAAAACAAAAAAACAAACAACAAAACAACCAACCAAAAAAAAACCCAACCAAAAAAACCCAAACCAAACAAAGGCTTTAATAGGTTTTTCAGTTACAATATCTCAAATTAAAGGAATTTGAAGCAATACAAATTCCTAGAGTAACTGAAATATTTCCCTATATGGCAAGACAAGTTTTAAATCTTTCACATGTACTCAAATATGAAAATGAAGAAACGTGGTCTGTGAAAAACCTAACTCAAAATAGATTACAGAATAAAACAATTCAAGACAGTTTCATGAATTTGGCTAAAATAATCTGTATTTGGCTCATGTCCATCATTATATTAAAGTTAGATACAATAAACAATAAAATTTGAAAACTCATCTTGTTCTTTCTATTGTACTCTATTCTAAATAATGTCCAGCAGACTTCAGAAGACACTTAATACACACAAAGATCTGGAAACTTCATCTCATAGACTGGAACAGAATGGTAATGAGGATGTCCAGCAGTCATGGTCATCGCTCCTGAGGGGCTGGGTGGAGGACTGTGTGAGAAGCACAACCAATATACAGAATTTACACTTACATGGATTGCTTTTATATAAATTTACACACTTACAGGAGAGAAACAAGATTAAACTACCCCCCATATATATACCAACAGTATATAATAAAATAATAAAATACCAATAGCATTTTATCCTAGTCCTGAAATTCTAATTAAATTATCATGCCCTGAGGATTTTTATATTCTTGTCTGCATCATCAATTTCACTGATGTTACAGAACTATCAAAATGCATCTTACTGCTAATAAATACTATTTTTCCTGCATAATGATGTGCACAACTCTCTATAATAACACCATGAACTACTTGGGGGGCTCAATATCTATTTTCTCAACCAGATGCAGTATTGGGAAAACAACAGCATCCTGCAATACTACTGATAGACAGAGAGATACTGTAAGACACAGTGACATGGTTTCTGAATATTCTCCACTATCAGGAAGATTCAAAGAAGTAAGAAAATAGAAAAGGACTCTTTTTCAGTGTGCTGGTTTTGGCTTGGATATTTTTTTTTACAGTAGTTGGTATAGGGCTGTGCTTTGGATTTGTGCTGGCAACAGTGTTGATAAGACAGGGATGTTTTTGTTACTGCTGAGCAGAGCTTACACAGAGTCAAGGTCTTTTCTGCTCCTCACACTGCTGGGCCAGGGTGTGGGCTGCAGGTGGACAGGAAGTTGGGAGGGGACACAAATGGGACAGCTGACCCCAAATGACCCATGGGATACCCCATATCACTATGGGACAGCTGACCCCAAATGACCCATGGGATACCCCATTTCACATGGTGTTGTGCTCAGCAGTAACAGCTTTAAGGAAAGCAGTAAGAAAAAAAGAGACATTCAGAGTGATGGCATTTGCCTTCCCAAAGAGATTAGCTGGAGATGGCTGAACATCTGCCTGCCCATGGGAAGTGAAATTTTGCTCTGCTAGCATGTGTGACTTTTGCTTTACCTATTAAATTGCTCTTATCTCAACCCATGGTTTTTCTCACTTTTACCCTTCCAATTCTCTTCCTCATCCTGCTGAGGAGAGTGAAGCCAGTGGCTACACAGGGCTACATGGACCTATCAGGGCTAAACCACAGCATTCAGTTAAAGCAACTATTTTCTCCCTATTACATGTGTTTGAGAACACTATGACATAACCATCTGAAAACAGCCACCATTGCTTAATATTATCATTTTTCAGGTATGATATTGCTCTTGCATAAAGCCTTACCGGATGGTGAGTTCCAGTATCTGTGCCAGTCTATCGTGAAGCAAGTTTGCCTAGGGAAAAAAAATTAAAATTGAATTATTAACTCCTAGATGTTGAACTGAGCTACAATGGGTGTACCAGGCCACACTCAGGTGAGTGTGTTCCACACTGCCACATGTAAATCTAGGCCACATTTCTTAATTTCCTTTTTCACTGCTGCAAGGACTCTGCGCCTTAAAGATGTATTTGAGATTGGGTGAGTGTGTCCAGGAGTGTCAAGAATTATGGACCAAATTCTGCTGTTGCAGACAAGAGTTTAACAAACCTGAAATACATTTAGTTATTTAAAATACATAGTGGGTTAAATGCTGCTCCAGTTATCCCAGAAACAGGTATGGACTGTGAACCTGGATTTCAAAGAGAGCAAGAAAAAGAATTAAGGTGAAGAATGTACAAGTTACCCATTACCTTCCAAATGGTCCAGGAACAAACACAAACACATTCAAATTACTGCAATCTCCCACCATTGATAGCACTGGAGACAAAACAAAGAACTGAATTTCTAAACAAGTAACAGCAGCAGTGACACGACAACTTAAATCACCTTCAGTCAGCACATGCCCACTAGTGCCTACACTGATATCCTCAGTGCTAACATTTTGCAGAAACTCACTTTGGTTTCACATTGAGCTGCAATTTCTTCAAATGGAGCCTTTTGGAACTTTTCAATCACGAGACGCCTCTTTTCCTTTTCCTGTTCTTCAAGTCCATTGTTATCTTGAAAGAATAATGAAACACAAAATTAAAGACAAATGCAATCTTTGCCTATGAAGTACAAGAAATATCAAATGTGCACTGCAGAAGTGAACGAGGATTGTGCCTGAAGTGATGCAAGCATTCTCAAGTGATCTGTCATCTGGCACTGCTTCTAAAGCCAAATGTAGATAAAATTTCAGGGAGATGGTTTGAGGACGAAATTTTTCCCCTTTCTTACTAAGTCTTTAATTAAAATTAACATCCAGACTCCCTTTTGATTTATTGCCTGCACTTCTCACTTACTGCACACAGGTTCAGATCTAAGAGGAAACAAGAATCTCCCAGTATCATGCTACTGTTCTTAACATCAATGTTTAATCCAGATTTTAAACAGGATTTTGGTAGACTGAAAAGCATTAATTAGCAATTACTTATAATAATATGAAATAAGGAATCTGGATAATTCTGTGTTCTCACAGCCAGGTCACTTGTCAGAAAAACATTCTTTTAAAAAACCTCAGTACTTTAAAATCCACAATGTGTAATTTACAACCTATTTTTGAATGCACAGAAGACTCAAAAATCTTAATACAAAAAAAAATACTCAAGTTACCTCATAAGTAATCACTCAATGTTACTAGAGTATCTCACATTTATAGCTTTGTCTGTACTGCAAATGTAATAGATGACAGGCATTTCCAGATGCTTTTCATTCAGCCCCATTAACTTCAGAAAATGAATTCACTAACATTATCAAGATATCATTTCAGAGATTTAGAAATAAGTAACTGGAGTTCTTAATAAATTTACTAGCTGAAAAGAAAAAAAAATGTAATATTGTATGGTATTCCAGCCTCTCTCTTTTCTTCAGCAATTCCATAGTAATCATGAACTATGCTGCACAAACACAACTGTAACAAATCTTACCAATGGCTTTCTTCAAAGCTTCAAAGGTGATTTCTTCAGTATTATCAACCTAAACACATAGAAAAGAAATCCTTAATCATCACATATAAAATATAAGCTTCTAAAAAATAAGGAATATGATAAAACACAGAAGGCCAAGACAGCCTTACAAGTCTCCAATAACTTCATTTGGACTTTCTGTGACAGCCAACAGATCACTAATTCACATTTTGAAGCCACTGCAGTTAGTGAGGAAATTTTTACCAAATGAAAACTTTCCAGATTGTACTCAAGATGCTCTATGGTAACATCCTTTATAAATGGATTTGGATTTAGGCAGAGGAGTCCTTTAGGTCAGGAATAAGCTATAGTGTCTCTATACTGTAAAATCTCAGTACTGGTTCTTAGGCAGCTGTTGCCAATAACATCAACTGCTTCCTGAGGCTGAGTGTCTTGGTTCAGGGCAAATTTGGGAGAGAACCCCCAAAGGGATTCCTCTAGAAAAGCAGATTCAATTGGCCCAACTCAGTTACCAGCAATGTGATGCTAAAATGGGAGCTGACAGTGGAGTGCTGAGTGGAGAATAGTTACTGCTTTAGGCTGACTTTGTACCATGATGGATCCACATCATTTGGTGCTTACATCATAAAAACTGGAGTGAAAGGGCTTTTCATAACAAGCTATGTCTGATGCACTGAGAAAATAAATCTGTTCATCTACTGATAGGAATATCCATTTACTGATGCACTTCACCAGAATTGCTTGAGGATGCAAAATTACTGAAGTGTTTAAATTCATTATAGATCTAGTTTCTATACCAGTAAATATATTTATAGTGAAGCCACCCTCTTGGCACTAGGGGAGAATGTTTAGATGGCAGTCTTCATCTGAACATAACATGGTTTCTTGGCTTGAATTTCCCCACTTCAATCCTTCCAACATGTGAACAGGCTTCCTGATAAACACCAACTCTTAAGAATGGTCTAGTATGTTTTAAGATAAGGGGTAAGCTACCAAAAAGTTCCTTTATTCCATTCAGAAGATTATGAATTCTTCCAATTTTTTAATTTATTGGCTTGAACTACTGTTAAGGGAAAAGGAAGTAGCTGTTTCCTTTTTACACGAGAGTTATTTCATGAGCTGCAGCTGTAAATTATATTTTTCTAATAGGTTTTTATTAATAAGCATGTATTCTCTTCCTCTAAATAAATAAAAATTAATAAATATTTTTTTGTAAAATATTTGTGGATATGGCTACAGATCCAGAGTATTCAGGTTCTGAAATAATCTTTTATACAACTCACATTTGGTAAATGTTAGTTGTTTATGGCTGCCTTTCATAGTGTTAGTTAATCTCCACATTAGTTGCTGGTATTACCCAGCATTATACTTGATTAATTAATACTCCAGAAGCACTACCTGCATTTACAGGTGTACCTTCACCTTATGAATGGAGATAACTATGGAATAACTCACCTTCCTGAACAAGATTCACTAAAAGACGTGGCACCACAAAAAAACTTTGAGTCTTCTGACAGAAGAACTGCAATTGTATTGTATAAAATAACAGCTATTTTATGGATAAACAGTCTTCTATCTCAGTGCAGAAATTATATCATACATCATTATGTCCTAAAACTTCCATTAATTAAGTAGGTAATCCTCTCAATCATAAAGATTTATGCTTGTTTTTTTTTGTAATTGAGTTCTGCTGATGGTTATGGATTGCTATACTGACTAACCTACACAGCAAGAAAACCAGATTTCATATATAGGTATGAAGGTCCAGTCAGCTAACTGGAAAATACTGTTTTATCCTTTGCCTTGTAAACAAATCTCATAAAGCAAGTAGAGGAGGAATACTTTGCTTCCTCTGTTCCTGATTAATAAAATTCACATTTTTAAGAGATAAAAAGAAATTCATTATCTAAGACACTGGACTACATTAAGACCACATTAAGCTGAGAATCCATAAAAAGATTTTATCTACAACCACTAAATCCAGTTCAAAATAGTCTATGTATCAGTGCTTGACATAACATCAGCATAAGTTGAAATCTGAAATGGAAATTTCTTTCATTTAATTCTACTTTCAAGGGAGTTGGTCAATTACACGTAACCACATATAATGAGTGATTTTAAAAAAGAATACTTATGTCAAACAGTCCTGTGAGGAGCATTTACTTGCTTCAGAAAGCTAGAGATCTGATTGCCTCATTTATTTTTCAAACACCTTTTTATTCCTTCCACTTTTATCTGTATCCTTGCTAAAGCACAAAAGCAAGAAGTGAACACAAAAGATCATCTGAGGTATAATGAGCACAAAGCAGAAAGGAATAATAATAGTAATAATAATAATAATAATAGTAATAATAATAATAGTGCTGCAAAACATATCACTTCTGTCTAAAGTAAAGCTTGCTCCTTTGCTATAACTTAATACTGAATTTTTTACTAACAAACACCTCCATTTCAACAGCTCATCACCATTGCAGCCAGTAGAAATCTACTTAATAAAAATCAGCAGGACCTTGAAAAATATCCAGTAGAAGTAGAAATTTAATACTTTAAATGAAGTGTCAAATTATGTGGGAAAAGTTTAGTTATAATGTGGTCTTCCAAAGGGATAATTAACATCAGCTCCTGTACCCTACATATGAACTTTTTGTTGCTACTTTATACTTCCTTTGCTGCATGTCAAACTCTCTCCTCTGGAGAGGAATCAGTGACACAGGTGCACACAATCTTCACCTGTCCCACTCAGAGACTGCAGGTCTCCCACCAGGCTTCTGTTTCTCTAGGATTGTATCTCACAGCCCCAGGCTGTTGAACAAGTCTCTCAAATCCTTCAAATGATACAGGGATACAGATACTGAAATTTATTGTACCCCTCAAAAGGCTAAGAAAACATTTTAGAGTATCTACTCATAAAGCACCAGTTGTTCAGCATGTAAATGAATGTATTGCTACACCATAATCTGTAGTACTATCTGTAAAAACTGTAGTGCCAAATAGTTCACCCTTTTAAACAATAAGATCTTTATATTTTATTTTTATTTATTTATATTTTATATTTATTTATACAATAAGAGTGTCTTTGACAATACATTTCTGCAAATACACAACTTAAAAAACAAACCCCCCAAAATATTTAACGTTGCTATAATAATCGGATATTTGACTTCCTGGAAATGTTTCAATTACATTCCCCCCTCCCTCCACTCAAGATGCTGCTTTAAAATAATCTGTGATTTTCATACCTTATCCTCTATGCTGCAGCCAGACAGAATATCCACCTGAAGAGACACTGTGTCCACAATACTCTTCCTCCTGGAGAGTCTGTCCTCATCTATCATAAGAAGAAATTATTTTACTTTTTGCGCAATGCTCTTGAAACATGTTCAGTCAAATTTTTACCCACGAGATGCAGTTTTTTTCCATATGCCTGTTTAACCCAAGATCATCTATTTTATCAGTTGAACTGTGAAAAATGATACATTTAGAGTTACTGCTCTAAATTACTAATCATGAAAAAAAAAATAACCTTTTCATAGTCCCTCCCTCCTCAAAATTACAGATCTTTTCAACTTTCCCTTCAAAGTCCAGAACTTAAAAAAACTGATGTCTTATTCAAATGCATAATAATAACAGAGCACATGATGATACACAGCTGTAAAATCCTTTACAAAAGCCTTTCTTTTTTTCTTTTTTTTTTGTGAAATTGAAGTATTAATGTCTTAATTTTAAGGTATTCTGAAACAGAAGAGGGCTTATTGGAATACGATTCATTGACAGAAGAAACAAAGATTTCTGAATGGAGATGAACAACAATCCCTCCTTATTCTTGTTGCTACAAGTACCATATTCAACAAGTCTAAAAATCTACGGGGTGAAAAAAATTCTCTCCATTTCTCACTTCCTTATTTTAGCAGGTCCAGCTGGCCTAAAAAGTTGTCAGAATAAGACCAACTGTGCTGATTCTAAAAGAAGCACAACAATTTAATTACTGCATAAAGAGATTATGATCAAAGGATCCATCAGTTGATGGAATCTCCTTCTGTGACTGCAGTCGTAGGACATTGCACCACTAGTGTTTTGTCATTTTTGACATTTAATATATTAACAAAAGATTTTAATGAACAGTAAAAATACATTTTAAGACTTGTCACAAAGATCCTCCTACAAACAGACACTTGAGTGGCCTGGCTTCTGCATGTGTCATTTACAAAACCATGAACTGCAATGTCACATTTTAGATTTTAGGCAAGATCAAGCCATTTGGACCTTGCTATTATTACCTGATGACTTGCACTGCACAGTTAGAAGCAGCTACAGGCACTTGATACTAAAAAAAAAGAAGAACTGCAAAACACCCCCATGAGAAGGCAATTTATGCTGGTTCTTCTGCAACCTTTGTTTAAACCACTTCTAGCCAAGCAAAGTGCTTTTGCAGTGCAAATATTGAGCATGAACAAACAGAATTCATTCCAGCAGAGCTGAACATGCTCAGCTTTTAAAAACCAAGAAATAACTTTCAGAAGTCACATAAATGAAATGTCATTTTAAGATCAAGAGGCAGTGAAAGAACAAGATTAGTGAAAAACACCTGAATTCTACTAATATTTGCCAGGTTCTCAGACACCCTGAGCATTTGAAATGGCATTCTGAAGGATTAACTGAATTTTTAATCCCTGATGGCTCACTGGTACATGACCCAATACATTCCAAATCTGAGGAAAGCACTCAGCCTGCAAGAGAAAACAGCCAACAAAACCACACCTCTGCTGCCATCTTGCTGCTCTCTCTATAACTGACACACAAACACCAGGAGATACATTTTAGGGACTACTTTGGACAGAATTCATTTTTGTAATGGATGCCTCACTAAACTTACATATGAAATATGCCCATTTATCTCTAATTTCAACATATTAAGTGGGCAAATATTTGTGACAATTACAATTTATTTCTCTTATAAAATACAGTGTTCATCCACACACATGAAGGAGCCCAGGGGCTCGAGGACAGTGATGGAGCCCAAAACCCACTGGCCCAGCCCCTGCCAAGGCTGTCCCAAAAGCCTTGGCCCCATTGCCTGGGCAATGGGAGCAGCTCTGTGTGTCACCTCACTGACCAAGGTGGGCTCCATCACTTTTGACAAGGGACAATGGATTTAAATGGAAAGAGGGTAGATTTAGATTAGATATTAGGGAGAAATTCTTTCCAATGAGGCACTGGCACAGTTTGCCCAAAGAAGCTGTGGCTGCCCCATCCCTGGCAGTGTTCAAGGCCAGGTTTGATGGGGCTTTGATGGGATAGTGAAGGTGTCCCTGCCCATGGCAGGGGGCTTGGAACAAGATGACCTTTAAGGCACTTCTTTTCCTGGGTGAGGGACTCTGTTCTTTGTGCAGTCATTATCTTGAATGGCCAGTAATTAAGATGAATAATCGTTCTTTAAACAACTGAGAGCTTTTTCCAACTTTCTACACGTTTTTGTAATGTCACTCAAAGAGGTAATTAGTACCATCACAAAAATGATACCTATGGCTCTACTACCTGCTCAGGAAAACAAAACAGGAAACTACTTTTTGGCAGAGTAAAAAATCATGAGCAAACACAACAGCAAACCCCACAGCAGCTAACATTGCTACAGGCATGTCAAGGGGAGAAACAAAAAAAGCGTAAGGAAACACTAAATCCACTAAGTACAACACAATTTCTGGCCTAAAGGTCTTTAGGCCTTCTAAAAGCATTTTTGACTGCACATCCTATAGGGACACACCACAGGGCAGGAGAGCAGGCTGACCTACAGCTCATTTTTACCTTTTGACTTGTGTTTGCATTTATGAGGTTTTTTGCCTGATGGAAATAGAGGCAAATTAAATATATTTATATATATATAAGTATATGTAGACAAAAAATGACTGAAAGTCTTTTAAATTACTTTCTCCCTCAAGTAAGAAAGATAAACAGGTAGAAAAATTTGCAAATATGAATGTCTTTCTAAGTTGTTAAGAAGTATCAAGAGATGAAACAAAATCAGGATGACAAAATTATGTTCTATAAGTCATTGTTAAGCATTGTAACACTGATATTTGGAAAAAGCAGAAATAATTAGGATGAAATATTTACTGGCATTTTGGGTTCAACTCTAGGTTTCACAGGAATATACAATAAAAGGGATTGTTTCTTTATTAAGGTTAATGATCTCTTTTGAAATACTACATTTTAGCATTATAATCTTAATAGCAGAAATGTAATGCTTCATTGCAGTAAAAAAAGAAAAACTTAGGAATGCCAAAATATTCACTTGGTCCTGATTCAGTTAAATGAAAAGCTTGGGAAGCTCAATACTCCACAGGATCAAAGATTCATGAACTTTACTGGCTATGGCAACAGTCAAGAAACAAGTTTTGGTTGCTGCTCTTTATAAAAAATTACAAAATCCCTGAACCCATCTGATTCACATTTACTAAGGATTAAATATGGCAATTTCTCATCACCTGCAGAGGCAGTTAATCACACTTGCAGCTAAACTCAATTAATGTTGATGTCAGAACTTGCGTCTCTTCCTGTGTGGGAACGCATTTTTAGCAAAGTGTACAAGAAAATCTTACTGAGGTCATTTGGGTACAAATATATCTGAGCTTCTAGAAGAGGCTTAACATAAATTTCAAACCAGGCTATCTTCTTCACTCCATTCTCATTCACTCAAAGCCTGTAACATTTCCTCACTTGCTGCCCACCTCTTCTGCCAATACTAAAATATAACGTTAACTGGTTTTAGGTGCCAGAAGAAATAAGCATATGAACATTATCCTTTGAAATATGAACATTATCCTTTTCAGAAGAAGACAACCAGCAACAGAAACCAGACACTGTGGCTGTGCTGGAACATATCACTAATGGGCCTGCTTGCATTTTTGGGACAAAACCACATCTGCTGTCTGGAGAGCTCGATTCCACCCACAGTAACTATCCAGAAGAGAGATTCAAGAGCAGGCAGAAATGTCTCTGAATCAGACTGCAAGAGGACACATCTGGCACTCACTATCTGTATGTACTTTGGTTCTTTCTATGTGTGAGCTAGAGAATACAGAAATCACATTTTACTGCTAGGTACTTTAAAAAAGCCATGCTTTGGGCTGGGGTATCCCCTAGTCTATTACAATAGCAATCCATTTATATACCTAGTCACAAAACACACATGGTTAAGAACAAATTCTTCAATCAATTTTTTTTTTCAGTAATTTGCTCAATTGGCTGTTGAAAAGATATTAAAAGTGAAAACCACACAAATGTCACATACTAGCTAGTCCTTCTGACATTATTCACTCAGCCTGTGCAGCACCAACTCCCACAAACCTTCCTCAGGCAACACTTTATTTCCACTGTTACCAGACACTAAGCTTGCATAGGTATCTGGTGGAGGAAAATATCTCATTCTTGCTTAAATTAACATCTGCTCATTGACAGTTTAAGGCAAATAAATCAGCACAAGTCCATGTGGCAAAAGGATGGAGTATCTTTCATCTAATGTTTACATGAAAAGCTGACTTGTATATTCTTTCCTCATTTTCTAGATAAGTTAGTACAGGTATTCTTTTGAAGCAAAGACTTCATTAAAAAGAGTCAATATGTGTTCTATGACCTTCTGCCTCACTTCCATCCCTTAAGGAAAAAAAAATCTTTGAAACTTCTTAGCAATAATACAGTAGCTCATGAGAAGAAAAAAATCACCTTGAGAAGACAAAATTATCTGATTAGGTTTTGTTGCCAAGCAGTCACATTACATTTCATTGGCACACAACACATTAGGAAAACATTCTTAATAACTGGTACTAAGTGGTGTTGCTATTAATCACCACTTACCTGTTACCTGGGGCACATATGGAACTGACAGTCTTTCCACATTGTATCCACTGCCTCCTAATGATTCTGCAATCTTGTTTGTCAGGAAAAACAGATCTGTTTCATCCTTCTCTAAGGATTTTGGAAGACTGTCAAAACATATATTTGAAGTTATTGTCTACCAATAGGTAATTGTTCGTTAAATAAAATATTTTTCTAATGTCTGTGAGCAACTAAGAAGGGTCAATGGTAATGATTTGATAGAAATAAAGCTTCGTCAGTTTTTTAGGAATGAATACACACCTAAAATTAGTCCACTGAAAACTTCTGCAGTATTTTAGATTACTTTAATTAACACTTCCTGTTTATCTGAAATATGTTCTTCACCTATTCTGCTACTGAAAACCTCTGCAGTATTTTAAATTACTTTAATTAACACTTCTTGTTATCTGAAATATGTTCTTCACCTATTCTGCTACATCTTGAGAGAATATGATCTCTGTTAAATAAAAAAACCTGCAGAGCAACAGTAATACTAATAGTAATTAATTAATTGTAATATTTGTCATTTGCCAGCAGTGTGCCCTTGTGGCAAAAAAGACTGAGGGTATCCTGGGCTGCATCAGGAGGTGGAGGGAGGAGATTCTTGCCCTTTATTCAGGTGTGGTGAGGCCACACCTGGAATGCTGAGTCCGGAGCTGGGCTAGCCAGGACATGTAGGGAGCCCACACTGGGCTCCACAGGGCCACTAAGGTGGATTATGGGGCTGGAGCATCTCTCCAGTGAAGCCTGAGAGAGCTGGGCCAGGTCAGCATGGAGAGGATAAGGTGAATCTCATAAAGTGTACAGCTCCCTTAAGGGAGGGAGGGTGGAAAGGCCTCAGAACTAAGCACCTCTCAGTGCTGCTCTGTGACAGAACCAGAGGCAATGGGCACAAACTGAACACAGAAGGTTCTGCCTCAACATGAGGAAACACTTTTTTGTGCAAAGGTGAAGGTGACCAAGCACTGGCACACGTTACCCAGAGAGGCTGTCGCCCATCCCTGGAGATATTCCAAAGCATCTGGATGTGGTCCTGCACAGTCTGCTCTAGGTGACCCTGCTTAAGCAGGGGACTTGGACCAGATGACCTCGAGATCCCTCCCAGCTTCACCCATTCTGTGATTCAGTGAAAATTTATTTTGCTGTTTTAGCACACTGAGCATCCTATTGTGTATAAATGCCTCTGACTACTATAAAAAAAAGTCTGAAGCCCACGTTTTTTTTTTTCCTGTAAGTGTACATGCTTTTAATGCTTGGGATTCTTCTGCCTGTTCAGAACACCATAAAACCTCTGATTTTTTTCACATATGGAATATTTCTCAACAATGTAGGATTTTTAATAGCAAAATAGGGGCTTCACTGTCCACTAATTCCCATTTTGTATCTACTTACTTGGATTTGTCTTTGAAAATTGTTTCTGGTAGAAAATAAGCTGCTTCCACACTTCTGGTTTCAATGACCTGAAAAAAACCCCCATGTCAAATAGTAAAAATTGGAATAGCTCCATAGTTGTTTTCTTCAACACCTAACCTTCACTAACATCAACCTCAGCACAAATGAGATGTTTGGGATTTCTTTTAACCAGGGAAAGAGACTGTGGCTCTCACCCTTTAGACTAAAAATCTGGTTCTTATGGTCTTGTGCATGTCAATACTATTTTAGCAAAGACAGTGGGGTCATAAAGTCTTATACCAGATTTGGCTCTTTATAGATGGCACCATAAGCAAAATAAAATGTTGTATCTTGAGAGAAGATTATTTTCTTTATAATCTTAAGAGTCGGCAAGTAATGCCATGAGAGACTGAAAATCAAGAACAATGTCAGTGGACACAAACAGGGGAGCACAACAAACAAGCACCTGACACAAGTTATTTAGTGATTTTACAGTAGACTGTGTATTGTTCTAAATGACCTGAAGTATTTAACCATGTCTTACCTTGCTGACATGCTGACAGAAGGCAGGCACTGCAATCATCTGACTCAGGAAGTTTAGATATGCAGCAACCAATGCCATGACACCACAACGATTAAACATTGGCAGATTATCCTCATTGATGATGGCAATGTCCTGAAATAGAAGGGGTAGCATGATGCTTTCCCAAGTTAGCAGGCTGTCCTGAATACATGGAAATCAAACTTATCATTGGTAACACTCTATGACATATGATGTTTATCTGCTATTACTTAACATTTGATATCTCTCATCTTAAAATTCTAGTCTTTTAGCTCACTCCTGAAGTAGGAATATATTGATCTGAAGTTAGCTTAAAAGATTCAACCATTATGAAGAAAAATAAATTTACTCAACTCAAAATCTGCTTCTCAGACAGGAAGTACAGGTTAATGACTGGTAGTCTCTTGTCCTTACCACCTGTTGATCTTAACATTTTCTCAGGAAAACTAGAAACAGCAGTTTGATAATAAAGATCACCAGTGTGAATCACAGATACAGCACAATAGAGGGAATTATTTAATGCATATTGGCACTTTTATGTTTATTCAGATTGTATTATTTTTGCTCTAATAAAACTCCTAATGTCATTCCCACCAAGTAAGGATTTGGTTCAATTACATATTTTAAAATTAAGGATGTAAACTGCATTTCAGATATTTTATAATACAGCTGCACATTTAGGAATAAGGTTAATGACAGAATATACTGGGAATACAGGGCCCAATTTCATCTAATTTCCAGGGCACATGTTAGGAGTACTTTATTTTTGATTTCAACACAGAGAAAATTTATAAGTTATCCAGCTTCCCTGAGGACCGTATGCAAGTATGAGTTAATATTTGAACCTATTAAGGAAATGTTAAGGAATAAAGCCTAAAACACTGACAGAATATTAGTCTAAGGTCTAAGTACTAGTCTATTTAGTCTATTAGACTAAATAGAGTGGTTTAGTAACTATTCCCAACCAATCAATTAATTATACAGAAGTTTTCATCCTGGGTGCAGACAGCCCATACATTTTATACAGAACACAAGATCATAGGTTGAGAGAACACCTTGTCAATCTGCTAATGAGTATGAGTGATTCTAATAAATGTTTCAACAAGTTTCCACATCTGTTTTTCCTGAACAGCACATGCTGTGGAAGTTTGTTACAAAACCGATTAGATGAAGTTTCCCCATCAGTACATACAAAGTGCACTTCCTTAGTGACCAATCAAGTCCAGACCAAATTATGGGATTTCCAATTTGAGGATCAATATACAAAACCCCCCAGTTCTTCACATCTCCAATTACACATTTGAATTGTCAGTAAATAAGATACAACACAGACCCATACCTGCAAGGCAATCGCTAATCGAATGAGGTCAATAACCACTTCTTCATTGGCCAGTTCTATTGTGGTAAGAGCTAGAGATGTAAACAGGAGTTCAAAGTTCTTCTGGACATTGTCTTCTTCTTTGCAGCCTAGGTAGATGTGTCTGTACAACTGCTGACCATGCTATGAAACACATAAAATGGAAAATGGCTATTAAATAATAGAAAAATTTAGGTAAGAAAGGATATTTAAAGGTCTTCTGGTCCAATTCTCTGCTCCAAACAAGAGCCAACTTTGATGTTAGATTGAGAATTAAAAAACAAAAAAAGGATAAAATACATGGTGTACATATACATGGAGAAACAAGTACATGATTAATCAAGTAGACCTCAAGTTTCTAATAACAGCTACTTTATAAACACTACACTGTTCTATTTTATGCACGAATGTACAGATAGAGGAGATGATACAGAGAATTGCATGATTACTGCACAGTATCAGATGTTGGAATTAATTTCCTGTTGAAATATTAGAAAAATAATATTTGCCCATTTATGAAAAGGAGAAACCAAAAAGTAATCTTGAAATATTTTTCAAGAACATTTGGGACATTTCAAGAACTCATTTTCAAGAACTGATGAGCTCCAAGTGTTATCCTTGTCAAGACATCAATTTGTTCATTGAGCACTTCCCCTCAAACAGCAAACCAAGAAAAAATTCTGCTAGAAGGTGTTTCAGAAGGTGAGCAAGGCTCATTTACCAATGTGTGTAGGGAGGCTGCAGCTCTAGTGAAGAACAGTGGTCATCTAATGAAAGACTCTCCACTTCAAAAGTGACCTTCTCCTCATTACACTGTGCCTAACCAAATATCAGTAAATAAACTATTATCTCAACACAAAAGAAAAATGCAAACACAAGAAACACAAGATAAGCAGCAGGTGCTGTATGGAACAGAGCTCAGTACCACCCCAGCATTCCTCATCTTGAGGGGGGTACAAGTCTCTATCAGCTGACACAAATAATTTTCAAGTTCTAAAGACTAACTCTAGATGTATTAATTCAGCTCTAAGGAAGCAGAAAAGTGATTTTCAACCTCTCTTTTTCAAACAGGACATATTTACTTGAGAAATAATGATGACATTGTTGGTCTTTTCATTACTTCTAAAATCAAAGAGCTGCTCAAATACACATTGTATTTAGAAAAGAGGGAAACACAGCTACCAGCAAAGCACAGAAGCTACTACAAAATAAAGGTTAGCTGTTTAAAGACCCAGTATATTTGGAAAATAAAAGTAATGAATTTTTTTATCCTACTGATGAAGAATGGCACTTAAATAGGAAAATAAATGATTATGTGGACTTTATCAATATGTATCTTTCTAGATGACTGGAAAATGCAAGAAGTTAAATATTTCCCTTCAAAGCAAGGATAGCTATAAACTGAGCAACTGGTCTGAGACCACGAGTTTTGTGCCTATGTTTGGTTCCATTCCACCTGGGTGTGATACCAAATTGTCTCAGGATCCCCATTAGCATCAAACAAGCCCAAATGGTCGTCCAGATATTTATGAACTTCTGGAGATACCTCATCCCTGTCCTTTGATTATGCAGAGCATCTGGGAGGAGCAGGCTGCTAACATGCACACCTACACCAGGTGAGTAACAGTATCACAGAGATAATCATTGACTGACTTCATTTCCCTGGGTTAATATATTTTTTAGAAGTCTGTATGCTCTTTTCTTGACCTGTGAAGAATCTCTTTTCCTCTTCTGCCCTTTTTTTCAGATCAATATTAACAATTCAAATATTTAGTTTGACAGCTACAACTTTCATCTAGCAAAATACATCTTATCCAAATTGCTTTAAATAATAGATATCAAATTATTGAATTAAGATTTAATTCACTTTTTTAAAGACACATTATTAATAATTGCCAATGTTGGAATATTTTTTATATTTGTATTATTCCAGTTGAATGCGTACTGGAAGAATGTTAACTGAACTAACTTAGAGCAAGAACATTTATCTTGCACAGTTACTTGAATGCTGTACAACTCTAGTTTGCATACTATTACATGCAGTATTTTGGCCTACTTCAGTATTTTCTGGTTTTTGTTAACATACCTACACAGATAAACCAGTCAGGAATGACAGAGCACAGTAACAGCTTTATGCATTTTTCCCACATAAAACCCAAGGTGTCTACTGTAAGCCATTTCACTCCACTTAAGTATCATCTAAAAAAAGCCCATTTTTCTTTAGAACCAAATATATTGAGAAGTCACCTGGTACAAAGTCCTGTGAAAACAATATTTTAAGAAGATAGCTGTTTTTGTGCAAAGTTAACTTTCTTTGACATCTTTACCTAAAACATAAGTCCCTGTACCACAGCTATAAAAAGATTTCTAAATACAAAATTTCTAAAAATACAGCAAAAATTAAAAGCCAAACTAGTGAAAAACTGCTACTGAGCAAAAATTAAATGCTGTGCAGGGATCTAACAACAGGGAGATCTTTTCAGAATCATGGTTTTGACATATGCTGGTTTAATTTCATGCATATGAAGGTTTTAACTGAAGACATAAATTAAAGTTTTATTGCATGGAATCATCTTTCAAGTATCTAGAGAACCTCAACACTAAAATCACTGTAACTTGCTTACAATAATTTGATACTGATCTTTGTGACTTGTTGCAAAACCACAGCTGTAGAAGAAAAGCAAAAGCACTGGTTCTGTTACTGATTTCTAGATAGAAAAGTGATGTTCATTCTATTACCTTTTTCATGAAGCTCACGTCTTGCCTTGAAATCTTGTCTCGTTTTATCTTTAGATCAGAAACATCTGGTATTATTCTACAAATGAAAGAGATGCGTTGTTTCAGAAAAAAAAAAAGTTGGAAATTAAGAGAATGTGTAATACAGGAACCATTCAAATATATCTTGACCCAATTCCCATTTTAATTATATCCATGCTTAACAAGAATATTCAAATTTCAGTTGAAGATGGAGAACCAGAAAGAGAATTATGATAATCATGTATTTTTTTATCTACATAAAATAAAAATAAAATTCTGTCTTCTACATGGCTAAACTATGATTATTTGTAATGATTCTTTAAGTTACTGTGCTCTGAGGCTTACCTGTAAAACTCCTGCCATGAATAAATGACACTGAACACCGTGCATTTACCAAAACAGTATATTAATAATTCATATTAGCAAAACCATTTAAGAACCACCAGTAGCTGTCATTCAGGTAATGCACTGGAGTCTCAAGCAGGCAATAAAGAAGAGCAGCACCTGATCCCTCGGAGCTTGGCTCTGTTGTCGTGCCGATCGATGAGGTTGTGCAGGATTTCCAGCACCAGCTGCCTCAGCTCCGAGTCCTCCATGAGCGAAGGAGACAGCAACGGGTCCAGAAAGGGGGCAGGAAGTGCATTACTTATTGTTGTGGCTTTGTATCCTGAAGTCACCTGTTCATTGTTTGAAATAAAATTCATGTGGCATTACTGCATTTTAAGAATTAATCACAGCTGTCACTTTTTAGTGGGATTGCTTTGGCATCCACAAGGCAGATTCAAATTGAAGTATTGTATTAATTTTGAAATTTCCTGACCTCAGTATGAATTTGGAAGGACGTCAGCATACATTTTCAAATTAAGTCACTCATGCTAAAAGGATTTTTCAGGATCCTTTCTTTAAAAACACACTCTGAATCAAAAAATAAAGTATGATTTATGATTTGTTTTTTTTTATATGGCCTATGATAAGTTGCAGGGCATAAATTGAAGATGATGGGAATTCCAGTCAATAATTACAATAGGGATTTTTCCATTTCAGGTTATGAGCTGTTCGCATATGGCAGAGTAAGCTCAGGTGAAATAAAAAATGAGAAATCAGGGCCTATATGTACACCTCAAAGATTTATGGATACTATTTTATTGCAAAATATGAAGTAAGCAAATATCACTTAGAAAACTGGTGCCATAGTGTTATTTTGAAAATTAATACTACCCTGACATGTCTCATTCAGTTACTTTTAACTAAAGCAAATTCTGCAGGTACAAGAAGAAAAATAAACATCTACCTAACTACTAATTCAAATTTTAATCAGCTAAACATCTACAGTAGCCAGAAATATTTAAAATTTACCATCCCTTAAAATGGAGGTTACCACAATATTACAATTTCAAAATATATTACAAAGTACATATAACCTGTTGAGGATGAGGGAAGCAAAACTATTCCAAATTTAATTATAATAAATGCAATAATATTTTCATCCAAGACTTACATAATAATTATATCTTCTTTATATATATTCCATACCCTTAGAGTTTTTACATGTGAGCTGTGTTTTACTGGTTTTGGCTGGGATAGGTCATTTTCTTGACAGCAGCACATGTGATACTGTGTTCTGGATCTGTGACCAAAGCAGTGCTGTAACACAGAGATGATTTGGCTACTGCTGAGCAGGGCTTACACACCTCCAGAGGAATATTCCATATTAAAATGTGCCATGTTCAGCAGCAGAACAGGAGGCAATTTGTGAGGGCTGCCACTGCTCAGGGACTGGGCTGGCTATCAGTTGGCCTGTGGTGAGTAGTTGGGACTTTGTTTTATTTTATTATTACGTCTTTTTCTTGTTTCTTGGTTTTGTTTTTCTTGGTTTCCTTTTTTTACTTACTAAAATATCTTCATCTCAAGCCATTTCTCTCACTGGTACTGTCCTGGTTCTCTCCCCATGCCCCTGGGGCAGGGTGAGTGAGTGCCTGGGTGGTGCCTGGTGCTCTGGGTTAAACCTGAGTGAGCACAGTGCTCCCAGCTTAGCTGAGGGCTTCCCAGGGACGTGGCTGACAGGAGCACCAGGGGACAAGAAGGTATCTGATCAATCATTCTGAACATGGAAAATGACTGATATCACAAGCAGCAAGGCTGCAAAACTAAGTGCACACTTTTAATGAAGTGCCAGATTTCAACTGCCTGTACAGCATTCACTTGGCTACCTGTATATGCATGACAACAGACTAATTATGCTATGAAATATTTTTCTTTTGTAAAGAATACATGATGTACAATGCTGGATTTTTTTCACAATATTTATCAATGATTAATTTATTAAGCATGAGAACAATGACTGTCACACCTTTGTGCCATGATTTTATTTCCATATTCTAAAAGAGAAGCAAACCAAAAATTATGGATTTTATTTCCATATTCTAAAAGAGATGCAAACCAAAATTCAGTGTCTAAAATGTTAAATCCCTTCCACACTCTGACTCCCTTAAAGCATACTCACAGGCTGTATAGCACCCAAAATCATTAGAACAATTCTTACCTGTTTTAATGGAATTTTAATACTGGTGAGATGTATATTGTCAGGAACAGTTTAGACATACCTGAGTCTATGTTTAATGAAGACAATGTGCAAAATGACCACCTGAGGTCCTTCCTAACAAGTTTTCTATCCTTAAACTGCAACTCTGAATGCCCAGCTCTTCTGCAAACCAGTCTAAGATTTCAGATTTGGACAAGCCAAAAATGCTTTAACCTATTTGCCTAACACCATATATGAGTTTCATGCCAAAGCAGGGATAGAAACTCATTTTGCAGGACATTCTTCTGCTTTAATTTGTGAAATCATTCCCCTATTTGAGTCACTAAACAGTTCTCAGCTTCTGCAAAAAAACAGGCCAGGATTCTACTGGCAAGAGCCTCCTTTACTACCCACTTCCTGATTTTTACCATCTGGGTCTATTTCCAGAAATACTCTGAAGATTTACAGCTAAAAAATGTATCTGTGATAAAAAATTCAATCATACCTTACAAGAAATTTGGGAAACATTAGGAAGGAAAGAACAACTGTGTCTGAGGTAGCCATTCCTATGGTTTTAAAAACATTGGCCATTCTACTAATTACCACTTTTCCAGGCTCAGAGATGAAAGTGATTTCACTTTGATGTAGCCAGTATTGCTGGCAGAACTCAACCCACCCTAGGATGTTTTTTTGGATCTGCAGATCCAATTATAACTGACATTCACTGAAGTGCTCTAAGAGGTGGAGGTGTATTTCTTGTGCTGTTTGCAATTTAAGTTGGAAAAACGCTTTCACAATATTACACAATAGAATTACAGGTCTATGCAATATGAATATATGTTTATTTTCACAGCCCAGTGTTGTTATACTGTACTCATATGCATAAAGTGGAACTGTGTGATTATAACATATTATACTCATCACAAAAGCCTTACCATAAGTAAAGATCTCAATAACATGATTTGAATCCTCCTGGTTCCCAAATCTCTGCAATTGGAAAAAAGATTGCAAATTAGGTTTTCTTGCATATTTTTGAAATATTATTCTACTCTAGACACTATTGTCATTTTTGACAAGTGAATACAGCAGTCGTGGATGAAATGCTGGATGATCACAGATAAAGGAAGGTAATTCCAACTGAGTTGCAATAATTAAATGTTTTTGAAAGACACATTTATAGGAAGGCTTAAAAATGGAGCACATTCAGTTGAAAAAATTAAATTGTATATGCGAAGCAGGTATAAATCTTTATGTTTTACTTGGAAACCTATAAAAAGTTTGACTACTATGAGCTTGATGTTATTTTCACAAGCATCAGCACTGAAAATTTCTTCTGGACTAAAATGCAATTGAGTCTTTTAAGAAACACAGACATTTCTTCTTTAAGCCAGACCCCAAAACTTTGAGACTGGAAAAAAGTTATTGGCAAAATCAGTAAGAAAAACTAAAAGATTCCTCAACTTTCATATCACAGGAAGGTACATGAAACATTACTTGACCTGTTCTTCATCTGTTTTCATTTCCATCCTGCAGGTACTAAAAGTAGCCAAATAGCTGAAAGTACATAGTCACTATTCTTGCAAGGTCTTAGGAGATAAAAGTGCACTTGGAATAAATTGCTTCGTTCACAGAGATTCTTTCAGGAAAGTAAAAAAGGTACAAGCCATTTTCTCTATTAAATAGTGTAAAGGAAGATCAACCCTCTTCACAAAAGTTGGCCTCTATGTAACAGTGGAAACTTATACCTTAATGGGCTACAATCCTGGCTGGCTGTATCATTCAAATGTCTTGGGCAGCTGGAATCAAAATTCTAAGTAATGCCAAACTTGATCAGAAATCAGAAAGCCTTCTTTGCTCAGAGTGACACATGCACACATCATACTAACACTGCTCAGGCACATGTTTACACAGAATCTCATAAATGGAAAATTACACAGTTATAAAAAAAAACAACCACCACCCTCAACTGTTAATCCAAGTAGAGAATTTCAAATGGATTGGTTCTTGAAATACCTCCACAATGAGTGACAACTGCCTGGCACAGACTTGCATCTTCCATGGAATAGCATCCCATGCTGCAGGGATACTGTATGAAAAGCTATAAGAAGCTGGAGAATGACAATGACTTCCTACTTAAAGTATTAGGGGATCACTTATGTGGTGCAAAATGTCTGTGCACATCTGGAAAGAACAGCTGCAGCCTTTTCAGTAATTCCTCATACTGAGGAAATGCAGTCTTTTAAACAAAATTATTGCTGCTACAGGGAAAAGTATCCAGTGTAGGGTGACTTTTAAATTGTGGGTTTATTAAGTCTGCCCACTTATAGCTTTTTCCTATTTCGAAATAAATAGGAAAAATCCAAAATTCACTGGAATTTCTGCAGTTATTTCTTAATCTGAAGTCAACTTGTACAGAATTTAAAAAAAAAAAAAAAGAACAAACCTTAAAAATAGTTTGCAAATTATGCATTTTATAATTGAATTCTTCTCATTCTCAAAACCAATATATAAAAAATTATGGAATTAACAACCATAAAGTTCATAATTTTAAAAAAAATGTACAAATGCAGAGAGAAAGAGTGTTTTAATGAAATAAATGGCCTTCCAATCAGGTAATTCTTATCAGTAAAATGTCTGTAGGTTGATTTAATATTGCTGACACTGAGCTTGTCTTGGTTCTGCATAGTATTTAATACAGCCCCTAAGGAGTGAGAATTGGCATTTAGCTTTTCTTAACGTTTTCCACTTCTTAATTTATCAGGATTCTAAAATCTAGATTTTTAATTTGAAATTTAAAAATGTAGCATATACAAACCCAAGGTTACTGGGATCCAGCGATTGTGAAGTTGTTCCCAAAACAGGTACTTTGCTCATAATGAACATCATAATCTCTGATCTCTGGTAATCTGGAAGATTGCTTCCAAAAAATCCTAAATAAAAACAGAATGAAATCATAGAAGAGATATAGGGCCCTTCTCTTTATAAGAAAAGCCTTTAAAATACAAGGAATATATTAACAGGTCAAAATAGATGAAGAATAAACATATGACTTCTTTTAGGGCATAATCTCATATTTATTTTTGCTGAATTATTTTAGTGAGTCTTTTTCATGATACTTTCATCTTTGAATACCAAAACCTAATTTTATCCTCCTCTAAATATACAATTTAAAAATTAAATATCTGGATTCTATTGACTTGTACCTAGTGAGGAATTGGAAGTGTTTCTCATGGCACATAGTACTGTCTGTTAAGTCTCCAATAAATATTAAAAGTGAGGGGACAAAAATCCCAGAGACATACAAGTATTTTGGGACTGTTGCTGTTCTTGGGGAGTGATGAGATGAGCAGCTTCCATGCCAGCACCATGGGAAGAGAAGCACTCCGGCATAGGGTACAGGGAGGGTTCCTGGACCAGGAGAACCTCACGGCAGTAGAAAGAGCCACAATGGCTGAGGGAACCTGGGCAGGGCCAGGAGAAATGTCAGGCACACACACACACCTCCCCTGCCTTAAAAGTATCTCTGGGAGTGCTGGCATCAGCTGGCAGGAAGGGCACTGCAGCTCTGCCAGCTCCACCAGTGAGGAATGGTCCCCACTCACAGAAGACCCTGGTCTCTCCCAGCTCTGCACCCACCACAAGTGAAGCAGCTGCCCAGACACAGCCCCAGTGGGAACAGCTGCCATCCCAGTGCCAGCTGCAGGCTGGGCCCTCCTCTTAGGGCAGCACAGCCACAGCAGTGGGCACAGCTGTGCCAGCACACCCAGAGAACTGAGCTAACACTGTTATTCCCAACATTACCCAAGGAAAGAGATCGGGGGGTTGGGTTAATGGCAAGTCCAGTGTGCATCAAGTGTGCCCTGGCAGCCAAAAGAGCCAACTGTGCCCTGTGGGGCACCAGGCACAGCATCACCAGCTGGCTGAGGAGTGACTGTCCCATCCCACTGCACTGCTGCAGCCCCTCCTCAAGTCCATGCTTTGGTGCCTCAGTCTAAGAACACCAAACACCTTCAAGGGGGGAAGGGAAACAGCAGATGATGATTTCTCTCTGGTGATCAGTGACAGGACATGAGGAAATGGGATGGAATTGTATCAGGGGAAGTTCAGATGGGACATTAGGAAAAGATACTTCACTAAAAGGAAGGTTGGGCACTAGATCAGGCTCTCCAGGAAGTGGTCACAGCACCAAGCCTAACAGAGGTCAAGCAGTATCTGAGCAATGCCCTCAGGCACATGGTTTAGCTGAAGCAGTCCTGGGAGGAGCAGAGAGATGGGTTCAATGATCCTTATGTGTCTCTTCCAACTCCAGATATTCTATTTTATTACTATGAAATAGTGAAACATTAACTTCGAGGTTGGTTTGTGGTTTGTTTTTTTTTTTGATGGGAGAACATTTTAACTTGGGAACTTTATGAAATGGTGAGAAATAATCTACTATATACTTGTTACTGCTCTTCAAGGCAAGCAGAGGTGCAGATCAGTGAACAACATTTAAGCTACATCTCCCTTGTTCTTTAAGAATAGGAATACATATCATAAATACACCCCAATATATAACATCACTGTCATAATGGGAAAATCTAAGGGGGGGACACTGATGAGAAAATAATTTCAAGTGCTGTGCATTAAAGTACTTCAGTTTAGTTATGGTAGCACAACTGGCCATTAGGTGTCATTGTTGCTACTATGTTTAACATTCATTTCTATCAATTTTAAAGCACTACCTACGAAAATATGTATTACTGCATACAACTGTTTGCAATGATTTTCATAGAAGGACTAATAATAGTTCTATACCAAAGGTAGAGATTTCTACATTTCAAGGGCCACATAATAATATAATTAAAATTAATTTTAAGTCCACCAGCATTTTTAATTTTCATAACCTTCTTGGCTATGTGTTCAGTTAACATTTAAAGGAAAAACCTTTCAGAAATCAAATACATAAAGCAAGCCTGAGAATGAGAGGCAAACACAATCAGAGAAACCATACTTGGTAGTATTCCTTCATGATTCAAGCTGGTCCAATATCATCTCGATGGGGAATAGGGAAAAGGGGAGAAATTTTAAGTGAGCCTGTGCCAATTGTATTACTCACCAATTGTTTGAATAATTGCATTCTGGACAATCCTCTCATCACTCTCCTTGGAGCTTATGCTTAAAGTGGTGCTTTCACAGGAACTGCGCCGGTCACCCAGCTCAAAGTCAACGCTGATGCGCAGGTGCTTCAACAAGGTATTAAAAACCTCCAGAACTGTTGGGCCTGGAAACAACAAATAACAGTGATTGCACTTGTCAAGGAGGAGATGTCTGAAGAAAATTAAAACTGGGCTTTTCAATCCATTTTCACAAGTAATGAGAGTAGGATGATGAAGAGAACAAAGTGAATTACAGCGTTTGAGGCATCATGACTAGAGAAAAACTTTTGAGGTGTGCCTACACTTTGATACTTTAGAAATTAACTTGAAATCAGGAAACACAGTTAGGTATGTATGCACAATCCATTATGATCCACTACTGGGTCTGGTCAGGATGGAGGTAATCTGATTTTCCTTGTGCATGCAGCTTTTGCTCCACCCATCAAACTGTCTTTATCTTGATCCATGAAACTCTCACTTTCTTTCTACATTGTCCCTGTTCTGTGGGAAAGGGGAGTGCAAACAGCCCAGAGTCAACTCACCATGCAAGTTTCAGATATAAAACAGAAGTGGTTGCTGAAATTAAGCATCAGTAATGGATTTAACTGCAGGTACTTGCCCGTGAACTTCAGTTATTTCAAAATCTGCTACTAAAATCCAGTTCTATACATTGGAGCAAATCATGAGCTCTTTTCATCATATGGTAAAAGATTTCACAAGTCTGTGCACGCAAGTGGGTCTCATATAAAGAGGAAGGACACATTCAGGCTCAAGCTAATGAAGCAAAACAATATTTCAGCAGGACACCAAAGAACATCAGGGAAAGAGCACTAGAGGGTGCATCTCTTCGTAACTACTCTTATTTCAAGGAACTATCCTAATTTTAAATGACATTATTTCACCTTATTTCAGCTTCTTCACAGTCAATAAGGAAACATTTCTCAAAGATCATTCTACTGCAATATTCAGGTCACAGCTGTATCACAAAGCAACAGTGCTCTTGACATTTTGTAGTGACACATGGTTCTCTCAGACTTTATGATTTCTTTCCAAACAGGAATACCTGCCTTTCACAATTTTTTCAATGCAAAGGATTATCTAACAGTCAAATAACCAAATGTATATGCTTGGAGTAACTGCAAACCAAGTAAGATTTCAAGCATTTTTCAGCAGAAAGGGGAAAAAAATTATATACAAAACCTTTTCAAAATGTTTCCAATCAGTCTGAAATCAAAGTGAAAATGAGCACTACCCTGCAAATTTATCCTTTGACCTGATGCCTTTAATTTAATACTACTTACCTATTGATCCTTTAGCTGCTATTGCCACTGCTTCCAGAAGAACCTGAATAATGCCAGCACGAACTCGTGCTGAATCCCTTTTGCGGACATCAAGGTGCCCAAGGATTTCTTGTATTACATGATGGGAATATTGTGCCTATTAAAAAAACAGACAGAAAATCTTCATCTGTGACTTTAACAAGAATAAGCTCATACATCACTCAGCTATGGTCATGACCATGTTCCCATTCTGCAACATTTTCATTCAGAAATTTATCAAAATTACAATCAATTCATGACTAAATATGGATTCAAAAAAGTGCCATGACAGATGAAGAAATACAGGTTCACTCAGCCAGCCTCATGTACAAAAGAGTCTTTTAAAATATCCAGGAACATCTGCAAGCACAGAGGAAGCATGAAATTGTCCCTCACTCAGCTAACTGCAGTTCAAAGAATTCAGCACCATTGATGTAACTGGTGAGAAAACTCAGCTTTCTCCCACAAACCTGGAATTTTACACTTTTATCTTCTGGGCATCTGTGTTTGATGCAATCAAAGAATAATACCTTGAGGTTTACAGCAGACAATGAGAGCCATAGAATGGTTTGAGTTGTGAGAGATCTTCAAGACCATCTTGTTCCAAGTCCCCTGCCATGGGCAGGGACAGCTTCCACTAGACTGGGCTGCTCAAAGCCCCATCCAACCTGGCCTTGAACCAGGGATGGGGCAGCCACAGCTTCCCTGTACAAGCTGTTGCTGTATCTCACTACTCTTCAGGTAAAGAATTTCTTCCTAATATCCAATCTCTACCTTCCATCCTTCAGCTTAAGGCCACAATACAGGTTGTCCACTATTAAAAATCCTCAGCACAACAGTTGTATGTGAAGTTGGTCTCTTGGGTTGGAAAATCAGCACAGCTGTATTGGCATAGAAAAACAACCAACCTGAGAGATTTCTTTGTCAAGCATCATGTCACACCAGCACCCTGCTCCTTGCTCTGGAGTAGGACCATCCCACTACCTTCCCTTGAATCTTTTGGATTCTTATCTACTTAGACTTATCCACTGTCTACCATTAGCATGGTGAGATGAGCATCAAAACCTCTCTCAAGTGCTTGAAACATGCATGCAAGAAAAAAAAACAGGAGAAAATCCTACCTGTATAGAATACATGATGATTTTAAAGCAGGAAACAGCAAATTCATTAGGATCCCATAGTTTATGATGGTCTAAATGCCTGTAAGCAAAAATTAAGACATAATGAAGAAATTATATCATACAGATATAATAAATGGTATCTTATGAATTTTCTCAAAATTCACCTCAAAGGGATTATTTACTAACATAAAACTTCTATACAATAACTTATGAGAAATTTAGAACTTCAGAAAAGTACTGGTTTTCTAGGTTTAGGATATGATCACAAAACATTTGGCTGAAAAGAAATTCCTGTTCTGGAAATTTAAGGAACCTAGATACACCAAACATATATAGTTAAGAATACACTCTTTCCATACAGAGTGCTGGGACATTAGATGCTTTTTTACATTAATGGAATCTGCTGAAGGTTGTAACACCTTGAAAATTTATACTTTACAGGATAAATAAGTTGTTTTGAATTACAAGCTGCAAAATAATTAGGGCTGAATGCTCCATCCAGAATAGAAACTCTGAGAAATATTTTTGTTTTCATGGTGGTTTCATAAATAAAATATATGGAAAACAAAAAAGAGCTGCTCTTTGTGTGTATATGCCTTTACGCTCTGAAGCATTTCAACATTTACTGCAAGAAAGATGAAAACAAAATCCCAATAAAAATGCATCAGTTTCTCTTTAAATGGAATAGGAACCACAAATGAGAAAAAATTTATCAGTGTTTCAAGCAAATACAAAAAATTCTGCTTAAGCAGAAATGTTGAGAGCTATGAATAGGACACACAGATTTTTGCAAAAAAGAGATCTGTGTCCCTGAAAAAGCATTAAAAAAATAACTGTGTTTTTTCATTCTAGAAGATTGAAGAAAAAGTAACTTTGGATGCATTTTAATTGGTATGATTTAGGTTTTAAAAAAATCAAAACAAATCCACAAACAAATTCACCAGTGAACAGCAAATATGGCAGCCAAATCAACAAAAAAACTTTGTAAAAGAAGATGAGTTTCTGTTCCTAAACAGGTATCTCAGCTACAGAATCATTACTGCTCTCCCTTTTCTCAAAGAACTTAGGAAACATGAAGTTGTTTGAAGCAACAAACTGAAAAGCTCTGGAGGTGGAAGAAGTCAGCACTGTGAACAAGAAGGACTGGCTGGATGCTACAACTTACTCTGTCTACAATCTGGAGATCTCAATTCCCTCACTGGGCAGCTGCTCCCAGCCCAGTCACCTGCACACACAGGTCTCCTTCAAGGCTGATTAAACCAGATGACACAAAGCATCTCCTATGCCCTAAATTATCTTGCACTCTATTGCAGAAATTAAAAAAAAGTTCTGCCATCTTTACACATCACACACCTTTAACAGAAATCCCTACAGGAAAGAATGTCAGGAATTTTAAAAGTATTTGCCTGCCAAGATAACAGCAGATTTACATCACTAAATATCCAACTTGAGTACCTATTGGGAGTAGCTGCTTTTCTTGTGCACAGGTGTCATCGAATGGAAAATCTTACTCTCCACTATCTTCTCCTGACTGGAACTGATCCTTTAATCTTTCAGGGCATTGTGTTCTCTGTCATCCTTGACAGTTCCTATTCAACTCCCCCAAAAATCCATTCATGCAGATTATGGTCAACTGCATCCCATATCACATTAACAAACAAACAAAAAATTCCTCTCTGAACAAGACATATAGATTTATATTGCCAGAAAGGCCAAGTATCAGCTACTTCTGGTAGATGAACTGCTGGGAACACAGCAGGGAGAAGATGGCAGACTTGGCTAAAGCTTTGTATAACAGCTAAGTGGGCAGCATACTTTGTATACTGGAATCTTCCTCCTAAGGACAGCTGGATTAGATTCCTGTAGGTGATGTATTTTACTGACCATAACAAGTGTATTCAATGTAGTTTTGTTTTTGCAAAAGACAGTAAAGGGTATTTTTAGTATGGTGTATTTACTTTAGTTAAAATCAAGTCACACCTTAACACATTTTTTTTTCAAATTCCACTTCTTTCAATAAAGAATATCTACTAAAGATTACAAAATATTCTATTGCTGGATTAACAAATGCTAAACTCTGCCTTCCATTGAGATCTGCTGCACATATGTAGCAAAAACACACAATTAGGTCTCTCAATTTCAAAGGAACAGCAGAACCAATAATGCAAGTTTCTGGGGAGAGAGCCACTAATGATCCCTGAATTCTTTCTCAGAGCCACACATACAAGTAATCCTTAAAGTAATAATAATGAATTGGTACCAAGGATCAGAAAGCATAACTGAGTCATGCATGTATGGGAATGTATAAAATATTCTGCTCATGCATCATGTTTGCTGAAAGAATATTGAACACCAGTCTGTTAATATTCCAAACCCCTCCACACCTGATGTGATAACTAACACTTGGGAAGTTTCAACAGATTTCTGGATCTCTCTGAATCTGTCTAATCTATTCACCATTGCAAATCCATGCTAAGTATGTCTCAATAGCTTCTGACTGTAGACACAACTTAAATTTTTTTTCAGGTAATATTATTGTAACATATTTTGACTTTCATTAAGCAATTAGTGAGATTAATCTGTAAGATTTTATTGCAAATTATTATTTGAGAGTTTCTAGCTACTGCACGCAGACATAACCATGGAGATTTTCTGCCTACGGCAAAGAGAAGTAATGTCAATCCAAACCTATACGAGGAGACTGACTTCAGATTTCCACTGAAATCTGAAATTTCCCTATCTTTTTTTTGTTAACACTAGTAACTTGAAATTGGCTTTTGATAGCTTGAAGGTCTTTCAGTGTATAAATAAAATACTTAATTTCTGTGGGAAGAACTAGGCCATCTAAGAGAACATATTCCTGTACCTTCATTATATTTAAACCCCTCAATCACTTAATAAACCCTGCCTCATGATGCAAGCAGCACTGCTCTCTCAGTTTTGCAAAGAAGTGGCAGCATGTTGCCTGATATTACAGTGTCACATGAAGCAAGCCTTCAGGTGGGGAACTGAACCTGCACCTTCATGTTAGCACTGTAATAAGAGGCCCTATCTATATTTCCAGAGTTTCCTTAAAACCTGTGAAAGAGCTGAACATTGTTAGAAGAAAGTGTTTTCTAATCAGAAGCTAAGCCAGGTTTTTCAATCCAATAAAGTGCAATAGACTCTCTATCTCAAACTTTCACTCTAACTGTTCTGTCACTCACAAAGTGCTCTATCTAATGAGATAGAGCACTCCCTTTTTGTTTAGGACAAACAGCTTGAAATTGCATTTTCTGCATCTCTTGTTCTTCAAAAATACTAAACCTTTTACAGCAGTCATTTCTAAAAAGACACACTTGGCAATTTGTCCTCAAAGTGGAACACAAAAATGGTGACTACAAAGGCTCTCTATTCATAGAGGAGATAACATTCTGAGCAACTGGTCATTATCTACTCATTTCAGTGCATAAATGCAGCATGTGGAACGCTGCTGTGCACACAGAACCAACTGGCCCCTTACAGTCACAGCATGTGAGAACTGAAAATAGGCTGGAAATAAACTTTAGAGACATAGGCTTTAGATTAGCCACAGGAGAAGCAGCTATGACACCTTCTCAAATCCCAAAACCAGCACTACCTCTAGTCTGTGGAATCAGGAATTATTCATAGGAAACTTCCCTGCTCCCAAAATTATTCAAAAGACTCAAACCACTGCAAATGATGATAAAGTTTTGAGATAAACTAACTAAAAGAATTGAGAAGTGGTCAGAAAGCAGCTGCAATACAGCACCAAGTAACCCATCCAGACTGTGTAGTAACAAGGTGTTCACTGTGATCACAGGTATTTTGGAGGAATGCAAATTTTAAATCTACTAAAGAATGAGTGTTTTTTTAATAAAACACTCAACTTTGTAACAGAAACTCCTCTGAGGTTGGTATAACAAATACATACAGAAAGTAAGGGAGTGGTACAGTTCTTTGTAGTTAATGTTTTTCAGGATAAACAAGGGGTTACAAAAGTTTTCTCCCTTCAATAGCAACCCTATCTTTTTTTTTTTTGTTAGCACTAGTAACTTGAAAATGGCTTTTGATAGCTTGATGGTCTTTCAGTGTATAAATAAAAAACTTAATTTCTGTGGGAAGAACTAGGCCATCTAAGAGAACATATTCCTGTACCTGGGATGTACCTTGAAAAATCTACAAGAAGCAAGCAGGTGTCCTCATCACCAGGAAAAGCCAGAGTTTGAAAATGGTATCACTGAGTGTTAATACAAGAGGTATAATTTGTACTGTGTGTTTTTGTGCATAATATGCATACTGTGTGCATATCTGCCATTCACTCCTAAATGAGTTGTTAAAGATATTCATCAAAGAATATCAAAACTGGTCCTGGAAGAAAATGGCAGGAAAACGTAAATTGTAACTTTATGGGGCACAGTATTCCTTTGTGCTACTTGTACTTTACTTGGTTTGTCTCTCCACTGCTGGATAGTTTCACATTTAAAAAAAAAGCCAGCTGAAGCAACAACTCATGTAAATTATTGTATTTTGCATGTAAAAATCAATAAAGCAGGACACACATTCCTCCATAACTGCCTTCAAGTTTATAGACAGATGAGAGAGGAGAGATTAAAAGAGGGGCAATTTTTTTAAGAAATGTGAATGGAAACCTTTGAGCTGAAAAGTAGGAAAAAATTTAATGCAACAGAATTGAGAATGAAATAAAGAAAACCTCTTTATTTCTCAGATCTTCCACAAATTTTCAACTTACACAAAAACTGGTCTGACAGCATTGTTCATATTTCCATAGGTTGCTCGTCCCAGTAGTTCCCTGAAACAATTCTCAGCCAGCACAGAAGGATTTTCTTCTTTCACTCCTACTGTAGGAGAGGATGGGGGGCCTATTCTGCTGAAATAAGACAAAATGCATTGATTATATTACTGACTAATATTCACCTTTTCTTTACTGTATCCACCCTTGGCATTAAAACATTCATGAGTCACAATCTTCAACTAGGCAAGAACTGCATTTCAAATATGCACCAAACCACAATTCTGAATAACATATTTTATTCTTTTGTAGCAGGACCATAGATCATCATTTGTTCACTCAGTACTTACCACTGTATTAGTAAATATTTATGTGGCAAACACAAAAGCTGCTCATATTCAGTTAACTTGTTACCTACCTCATTTTGACAGCACACTATGTATTGCTAACAATGAACAAAGGCTGTGAAACCACTAAAAAAATTTAGACAGAATCTTAGTAATATAGCTCAGATTAATGATCTCATTCACCTGCCCACTACTCAGTCCATACTGTGTGGGTGACCATTAAATGAAACCCCATTACTTCTGCACAAACAGATGGCTTGTGAGTTGAAAAAAAAATGCCTGAGTGAACTGATTGGAACATTATCACCCACACAGTTACCTCTAAATAGACACTGTAGAAGTTGGTCACCCTCTACCTAAGTGTCTTCCATCATTACTATGGAGAGGGCACTGCTGAGCCCCTCCCTGTGGCAAACACAGGTTTCAGAAAGGAAGCAAACAGCTCTCCCTGAGGTACCTCCATTACTTACCAAGAGTCACTGGACCTACAAGTGGCAACCTTTTTTTTTCTCTCAAAAAATACATTGTAGGGGCTTAAGTGAGGACTCATTCATTTACATTAATATTATGCATCTTTAATTTTAGACTGCAGACACCAGTACATTAAACCCTTAAACATAATTTCAGTTCTGCAGTGCAAGCTTGTGTGTTAAATACATTTGAAAGTGTCAACCAAGAGCATTCAGTTTACTTAAACATCATAAAAGCTTTAGACATTATAGAAAATTACAAACTGAAATATCAGTAGTCAAATGGACATGTTAACATCATAGTTGTAACATATCTTTTGATGGCAAAAGATTTTCTAGTGTTTCAATACTACTGAAATCTAAAATTGGCCATATGAAAATCCTGTTGCCTCTGGAAACATCAGTGTTTCAGGAGTTACCACAACAATGCTAGCTTGTCAGATTTTAATAACAGAAGAGCCTCAGGAACTCTGTTAGATAAGGAGAAAGAGTTTTACAAGTGCAGCATGATTAGAATTTTAAAAGGTATGATAATTTGTATATAATCCACCATGAGTACCACAAAACTCCAGCTTTATCAACTGCTGTGCCACCCATCCTCCCTTTTTTTCCTTCCCTTGTACTGCCTAGACTCTGATCTAGGGAGATGGGAGAGAAGATAGTGTAGGACTGTCATTTCCATTGCTGTTTTGACACAGATTCCCTAAAATACAACAGCACTGCAAAGGTGGGTGTGTGGGGAGGAAAGACGAAAGCAGGCAGCATAGCACTCAGAGCTTAGCCTGTCTGAAAAAATTCCAGTTAAAATGAAGTAAAATAAGTTACATTTTAAGTGCTTATATATGCAAACCTACAGAAGGTGACTTCTCAGCACTGCTTGGAAGTCTTTTTTCAGATGAACCTTCCTAGTATAACATGTTACTCTTTGCATCAAAATGTCTACAATTATCCTGTGTCATCTGTGGGAGTAACATTTTATTTGAACTTTAACAGCACCTACCTCAAGGTATTTCTCAGTAAGCATTCCTTGGCATTGCAGACAATAGGCAATGAATATTGAATACTCTTGTTAGTTTTATAGAAAAGCTTTGTACAGCCTCTTAAGTTTCTAGATTCAAATGAGTATCTCATACTCATTTTGTTTCACTGACTTGGTTTTTACAGAAATATCAGAAAACCTCTGAAAAATCCAACTGCAACAGCTAAGAATAAAACAGTATTATTCCTCTGCACGTAAACCTTTTGTTGAATACTACCACAAGAGGGCTGAAAATGTGCTTTACAATGAAATGGGCAAGGACAACTCCTTGCAGCTGCTCTACTGGCTTTTTTGTGGGATATCTCTCTCAGAAGTGGTAACTAGGAACTGGAAGGAGAATGTGTTGAAGTACAGCAGTTTCCATAGCAAACACCTAATCACAGGTGATTAATTTAAACTAGCTCACAGTAACTCAGCAACTTAAGCATGAGACTTCTTAAATGCCAAAAAGCCAGGACTGGCCAAAGATATGACAGGACATGAAAGACTGAACCACCACTTCTGAGCAAAGTAGGTACAGGAATGTTTTACTGTGATTCACACACCCTGAGAAAGAAATAAATTCTAACTTTCCTCTAAAATAGAATTTGTATGAACATTAGATGTATCAGAAGGATTTGAAGTCAAGTTTACATTAAGTGCTAGTGTCCCTCTGCCTGAAATCAGGCTGGCAGGTTTAGCTCCACAGTTATGAAGAATATGTCATAAAGTAAGGGAATTACTAATTTCATACATCCCCTCCCTATTTTGGAGATGCACATAAATAGATATACACATAACATAACATCTGACAGGCATGTAACTAAAATGTGCACTCTGATATATGAACAAATAATGGCATCCACAAATACAATTATATTTTTAAAATGTTATTTAAATAGTAAATTCTTAATTCCAAGAAGTGTCTCATCTCCTATGTACTCAAAAGAATCTTGAATTAAGCTGTGAAGTTCCACGAGCTAAAATTACATTGACTTCCAAGGTAAGTACCTATATGTACTTCAGCTATAATCAAAAATGATTTTTCTTCTATGGATTTAAGTTGGGGTTATTTTCTGGAATTTCTGCTCCTTCTCAAATAAAGCTTTGACTCCATCTGCCAGAACAATATGCTTCTTACTCCTACTCTTCAAGATGTCTCTGTGCTCCACAAATATGAAGTCACACATAAAATAAAATGAGAATTTGTCTGTAACATCATATAAGACCAGCAGGTAACAATTAACAAACACTGTTTTCAGCTTTTCTGTCATATGCACATCATAAAAGGTCCCTATTTATCACTAGGAAAATCATTAGTCTTTTTTTCATGTTTAATAGGACAAGTTTCAAGCACAAGAGTTCAGAAATTTAAGTTGCTTTTTGATAGATTTGTTTTTCTACCACTACTATTGCCTTGCTCCACAGATGATAAAAATCATTCCTGCAGTACATATAAACTGATCCACTTTAAGTGGTTAATCCAAATCCTACTTCAGTCAGTTCTTCCATCAGTAGTTAATTTACTTCTGCTATAAAAAGGAAAGTGTATGCCTGAGGGCACTGTAAAGAGTACCAAAGGAAAGGGCCCACCTGCAATTAGAAGCCCTGTAAGAATAAGCAAAGGCAAACCAGACTCTCCTTGTTCAAACAGCAGCTTCAGAAACCTTTCTCTCTTACTCAGTTCACTCTTCAGATGTAACATTCAAGTGGATATTTCTATAAATACTGTGTGGGCCCTCAGCTATATACAGTAAATAGATAAGGCATAGACAGACAGACAACTATTGATTTTAGCTACTTGGTCTGAAAATTTGTTTTAGAGATGAGACAGGCACTGGCAGTCAGAAATAACACAACAAAAATAAAGCTGAGGAATTGAAAAATAAATGCCAAAACTCAAAGGAAAAAAAGACAAACTGATAGATCTAGAAAACTGAGTGAAAGCATGAAAAGCTTGTTGTTACAGGAAGGCTGCTGAGCCTCTTAGCAAGCAAGTTTTGAAGTAGCCAGAATTGGACATGGAATTAATATTTCATTTGCTTGCACTGCTGAAGTTCATTTTATGGAAATTTCCCAGTGCTACCAATAAACAGTTTTTACACCTACATAGTGTTTAAACAGGGACCAAAAAAAAGAGACTTTTCAATTGTAAGGTGACTGGCATCTCCTCAACCTTAATTGTCACAAAGATCTTTTTGAATATCTTTTTGCAAATGTGGCAAGTAATATGCCTAGGAGTCACTGAAAGCAAAAAAGAGAAGGTGATCTACACATAAATAAAACTTTAATTCCTTACTCTAAGTATTGTTTCAGCCAGGACAAGCAGTTCTTACTGATGGCTAAAGGAATTAAAACCTCAATTTCTAACAAATCTAAGTAGCAAAATCATTTGAGTCACCTAAAGCCTTTGCTTACTCATCTCTGCATCTGATCCACTAAAATACAGAGTTCACAATTTTTATCAAGTCAAAATATGGATATATAATTTCCAGAATAACTTTTAGGCCAAGAGGATCTTGAACAAGTGAATAAATGTGGTTGAAAAGATTTTAAGACAAGAAACATTAAGAACCAGTATGCAAACCTACACTATCAATTTCAAGGAGCCTCAGCTAGTAAAGGTGAGTTGTTGCTTCCACTGAAAAGAAAAAGGATATCCATCATAAAAACCCAGCCTAGAGATTGCTTAAAAAACCCACACCAGTGACAAGGAATACACTTACCTGTCAATATCTTCTATTTTCTGCATGTTGAACAGCAGTGATGGCACTATCTTGTCCATGTGCTGGGGTTCCCATATGGTTGCTCGAAGCTCGTCATTAACTGCTTTTCGAACCACCCCCTGGATGCCCCTGATTCCAGCAATTCGGATCCTGAGCAAGGAAAAGAGGAATTACTGAAGCTGAGCAACACAGCACCCCCCAGCAGGGCTCTGGCAGCAGTAATGAAGAACTGTGGAATTCCAGTAGGTTCTCACAAGCAGCAACTGGGAAAACTGGCCAACCATTAAGATTGGCTGTGCTTTCTTTGAACACCTTTAAAGCCAGTAAGGAAGCTGACAAAACAAACAACTGAACAGAAGATGGCCTGTAAGGATAAAGCTGACACCACTCAATGAAGACTCAAACTTTGTGCATCACCTCTGACAAAAGTCCCCTGGATAAAACCCACCAATCTACCCCCCATCAGTTGAAACTTCACACAATCTCAGCCTATTCCAAAGCTGAAGAGAAATGGGAAGCTACCACAACACAGCTGAAGTAATATCTAGCACAGCCATGTGATTGTGCTATTAGAAGTTGTAATTAAGACTATGGATTAGTCAGAAAAGATCTTCAAAGATTTCTGAAAGATTCACAAGATGGATAGCAAAGGATAATTCTGTCTATTTAAGCCTAATTGACAAAAGGAACCACCACTTTCATTCTAAAACCATTTGAATGAAATCAACTGAAAAGTAATCAAAAACAAATAATAAAAAGATTACATAAGTTCAAAAAAAGACTTGGTCTAGCTGCTAGCTATTGTCATCATGTTATTAAACAAAAATAGCTTGCAGGAGAATTTGTTCAATGACATGAATAGCAAAATACTATTTTTTTAAGTGATAATAGCAAATTATCCATTGCAATAAATGGTAGGAAGAGAATTTGCTTCCTGAAAACAAGTAGAAGGTACTACAGCTATCAAATTAAATAAGTACAAGCCTCACTAAAATTTTGAATTATTTCTCTTAAAATCCACCCCTCATTTTTTAAATCTTGATTCAGGTACGGACAACACTTTACAAGCCCTTGCTCAGTCAAACTCCCTGAATTAAGACATTTCTAAGATGAACTATTGAGGTAACCATGTTCTGTAATTATTTTTGTTTGGATTTCAATTTGTAAATACATAAATCTGTAGTTGCTTGTATCTTAGGTATTCCTGAACAAAATTTTGTGCATTCAAGATGAACCCAATTTCATTCTAGATTTTTTGAGATAGTTTCAATAGGATTACACACAAAGGAGGAGACAAGAGGGATGTACAAACAAGGAGAAAAACTGCTGCAGGGAGGGACACATCCTTCAGGGGGGAGCTGCAGGAAAAAAAACTGTGGCACTTACATAAGAATGGGAAAAATAGAATCCCCATTCATGGAGGCTCTTGAGTTTGACACACATGAGCATACGTCAGACATTTAAGAAATCAGTTGTAATGAGTAATTCTCAAAAAACAGACTAAATATATGCTTTTGCTTTTCATCTAAGTAGCCTCATTAATATCTCAAGGAAGTTATGAACTCGTGCATTTACAGTAATAAGTGGTGCCTTTCTGGAGAAAATCCACACAATCTAACATGCATTATATTAAGGTAAAATTACACCTAAATATCCCAGGAGTTCCAGCTACCTAAGGTTTGCAATATTCAGTGCTACTCAAAAAGTCAGACTGTCATTTTCTTCATATGGAATGAACTAGTCCAATAAACACCTTAATAAGAGCTGTATTACAGACACTATTAATGTGTCAACAGTTTTCAGTAATTCCTGCAGAATGACACTTACTCATTTTGTATTTCTGGATCAGGGTCACGGGAATGACACATGGCACTGAACCGGGACACAAAGAAGTCGTAGCGCCTGTGATAGGAAGGTGTGTCTTCTTCAATGTTGGCAAATTTGACAAACTGGAAAGTGAAATACATTAAAAAAGCTTTTAATACCAATTTCCTGAAATAGAATAATGAATAATAAGCTTAATCGAAGCTTAATTTATCTAGTAGCATGAAGTAACTGCATTAAGAACTCAATTTTGACAACACTTTAGAACTTCAGAGAAGAAAAATCTGAATAGGAGGGTTTTCTTTTAAAAGTCTTCCCACAAGAACTCCATTTAGATAGCTATGGAAGCATGAAACTGTATGAATTGCAACATACTATGCACTATGGAAACATCTAACACTTGAACAATGAGTCATCAACTGGCAGAATCATTTTGGCTGGAAAAGACCCTCAGGATCATCAGATCCAACCATTTCCCTAACACTGTCAAGTCCACCACTAAACCTTTTTTTACATAACTCCAGGGATGGTGACTCAGCCACTTCCCCAGGCAGCCTGTTCCAATGGTGGTAACTCCCTCAAAGAAATTTTCCCTAATATCCAGTCTAAACCTCTCTTGACACAACTTGAGGCCACTTCCTCTTGTCCTATCTCTTTCAGCCTGGGAGGAGAACCTGACACCCACCCTGCCACACCCTCTCTCAGGCAGCTGCAGAGAGCAGCCCAAGCAATCAAACACAACCCTGTCGCTACCAGGTTACCTAGCAACATTCTGATGTACCAAAATTCAAGGGAAATAAACTTGGAGGCATTCTGTCAATTCTGTCTAGACAGAAGGGAAAAAGGAGGAGTCAGGGAATCAAAATCCAGTCAACTCTAGTCCATACACAGAAAAACACTGGAAAAAATGCCAATTTGCCAACATCTACCAAGTCTCAAAAGGGTAAGTAACAGTCAACATGGATTTGTCAAGAACAAATCACATCAATGCATCTTATTCCTACAACAAGTAAATAACTTTTGTGAATCCAGATGAAGCAGCATCTGTCAAAACTTCAGTGATGCTGTTGACAAAAAAATATACAAAATTCTCAAAGGAAAGCTAGAAAAACACTGTCAAAAGAACACTCTCCGTAAGAGAGATGTACAAGAGTTTGGAAAAAAATACGTTCACACTTGTAAATCATCACAGTACAAAAACATGATTTGAGCTTCACTAGAGACTCAGATGAGCAGCCTGGGCTCATCAAATTTGCAAAGAACACTAAGCTGGTCAGAGCTGCAGGCACACTTGATGCCTGGTTTTTGAACAATTGGAAATAGGACCTGAAAAACCAAGGAAGCAGTTCGGGAATAGTTATTGCAAAACAGCATTTTAGCCAGAAACAGCTGAATGAAGAAAAGGAACTTAGTCAATGCCAATACGATGGCACGGAAAACAGAACAATATACTAAGAGACATCTGCAGTACTCATGGCACCTATGAAGAAACTTTTGCTATCTAACTGGGCCAAATAAGGCCTTAAATGAAGTGGTGCATGGAGCTGAAACATCACAGCTAAAATGGTGACTAACTGATACAGTTCTAAAATTATTCAAGAACTAGCCAAAGCTTTAGATAAACATCTGAAAACGAAATACACCAAATTACCTTAACTACAGCTGCCTGAAAGGTATCAGTCTTAAATGGTACAGAAGACAGCAATAAAAACAGAATAAATAGTTTTCTTTGTCCAACAGTAGTAAGAAAATCAATAATAGGCTTATATTGAAGCAAGCCTAAGTTAGCCATTAAAACCCCTCCTTCCTAAAGTGAGCAGACTGCCTAAAGACCTTTTGGATTCTCCATCACAGACAGTTCTAAGAACAGACTACAGAGGGAAATAAAAAGCAAAACAAAACACTGTCAGGAAAGGTCAGACACCATGCCGGCTCTGCCCTGAAGCAGAGTGATGTTCCATTAAGATCCCTCTGCTTTTACTCACACCATTTTTATCAATTCCTAAGCACAGGCTGAGGCATTTCCTTTGTATTTTTCATGATGTAAAACCTGCTTTCATCAGCACGTTACCCACAGACAGGCCCAAAGCCCTTTAGCATAATCTACAGCACACTGATTTGTGGAGGGTTTGAGGTTTTCTAAGCTGTGTATTTCAGAAAAAAAAAAAACTACCTTTTTTTCTACTCTTTTGTTTAGTCTTTTTTCCTGTTTTGTCTAGAACAGTTATCCCTTTTAGCTGCACTACCAGTTCACCCTCTAAAAGTTACAGGAACAGAAAATTATGTAGTTCATAAAACTACATTCTCAGCTGTTACTGAAAACGGAGAAAATTGTATAGTATGAGTCCATTTTACAAGTCCTTCTGTTAGGAATACCCTGTATTTCAGGTGGTAAAAAAGTGGTAGAAGTCAAAATCTAATTCTGTATGGTCCACTGCCATAGACTGAATGATGATCTACAGCACCCATATGTTTTCTCCAATAGAGTCAGTTATAAAAATGATCATTTCCTTCCCAAGAGACCCTGGCAAATGCTTCATAAGTACTGTGGCTCCCTAGTTTGTTTCATGAAACTGTTACTAGCAAAACAGAAATTTTTTTTTCAGACAAGAATTTTATGAGTCCTTACATCTCAATAAGGCACCAAGACTGAGGATTTAGTAAACTCCACACAATATTATCTTAATATTTTCCAGACGTTCAAGTGCTCAAATCAACAAATGATTCACCCAGAAAACCCCCATAAAAGCATGGAAAAGAATGGAAACAAAGTATGAAGAAGACAAAGCACTAAATGGTTGTGAGAATGAGAATATTAATTCACGTTGCTAATTCATCTTGCATTTAGTATCAGCCTTTAATATTATTATTATCTGAAGTACTAATTATTCGATTGACAGGATCTCCCAACAGGAAAGCTTAATACATTCTAATAACTGTTTTGCTAACAGAAAGATTTATTGTACCAGGAAACAGCTTTGTAAGAAGAAATGATGACTTTAGGCCAAGCAAGTGTCAGGGACTCCCTCATTCTGAGTACCTCTCCTGTATCAGGGGGCAGCTTTGCAGCAGGGACACAAACACATGGAAGTCAGACCTTTCAAAATGGCATGCACAATAAGAGATCCAAAAAGGGCAAAGGCTTTTTATGTCCTCATGTCTATAACAAAACAATTTCCCCACTGAACATACAGCATTTCTGAAGCACAATCCAGGACTAGCATTCAGATGACTGAGCATTTAGGCCACAGGAAAGCTCTCTATGGTAACAGTTTTGAGTTGTGCACTGTCATTCAGTAAAGTGTAAAATTCCATTCCATCATAGAAATTTTAAGTTTTTACAGTAGACATCACTCTGTACTTTGCAGTGGTGGTGTTGTTATTGTTGTTACAGAATAATTGCAAAGCACATGTTTTCAAACAAACTTCAAATATAGCACTTATTCAATCTAAAAAAGGATAAAACTCTTATGGAAGTCCAAGCACTTGCCTAGGGATTATTTACAAAGCTTTTATAGATGTAAACATGTCATTCACAGTAAATGCTTCCAAGCATCCAATGGTAACTTATGGAAGTTTTACCAGTACAAGCATCTTCTGTATTTTATAATACAGAAGGTACAGAAAGGAACTTACATTGGTAGTACCTTATTTCCATTTATCTTGAAACCAATAAAATTCAATCAGTATAAAAACATATAAATATACCACAAAGTAAAGAAGAAACATATCATTTATTCAGAAGATGTTTGTTCCAGACTGAGTAGAGAAATTTGGATCATATTACCAGGGAGAGAGAGAGAGAAAGGGAGAGAGAGAGACAGAGAGAGAGAGAGAGAGAGAGAGTGAGAGAGAGAGATTGTACAAGCCCTGTAAGTAAATCCTATAATTTCTCAAGGACAAAATTTCTTCTATGCATTTATGCTGTTTTATCACTGTTATATAGCAAATACATGAGGAGAAAAATAATAACTTTTAATGGGCCCTAGATGTATTAAAAAAAGGTCAGTTTTATTCAAGAATAATCACCATGCATCATATTAAAAAAAGATCAGTTTTATTCAAGAATAATCACCATGCATCATATTTGAGTCATGTTACTTAAAGTATCTCCCTGTAAGAATACTAAGCTTGACCTGAGAATTATGTTTTACATATCTGAGCTCCCCAGTTTGTCTTCTGCAGCCTGCAATTTTCTCTTGTTTCAAACACAGTGCTGATACTGGCAGTTATCACCTTTCACAGGCCAAGGTACTGTGTTTCATTATTATGAAACTGTCACATGGGAAGTCATGATCTCCTATAAATGTAAGACTCTTACAAACCACACAGCACAGCCTTAATGAGAAGTGTGAATGCTATGTGTGCACTACAACAAATAAATGCCAGAAGGACAAGCACTTCAATGTTCCTGAAGAGAAAAGCTTCAAACACTGGATACTTTAACTTCACACTGGATACATTAACTTTACAAAGTATGAAAGCATGAAAATGATCACAAGGTTCTGAGCAATGAAAACTGGTGATTTAGTTTATTTATTAATACCTGGGATCACCTGACACTTTCAGTTTTATCAGAATAGGATGGAAAATTTCACATTCTATTTTAGTTTGTGCCCCTTGGATAAAAATTCTCCTGACCACCACATGTACAGTTGTGTAACAAAATCAGCAATGGAATGTCAGCTTACAGGGTCACAGTAGTGTGGCCATGGAACTGCAAAACCAGAGAGCACAAATATGAGTGGGGGAAGCAATACTTAACTTTGAGTGACCCTAAAGCACTTAAATTCTAGCAGATGCAGACACACAATTTCTAAGATAATTTAATAACTCACAAAATGAGAAAGAGTGCTGTGTGTTAATCTGTCTCCCTGAGATTTAAATCCTATTAAAAAGACAGAGGAGGCATCCTAGAAAAGGAATTTTTCCATTGTGTATTAAATCACTACAAGCATAAAATTCTGGACTGGTACATGGAATGAAAGAAGCATCTTGCAATAAGGGTAAGTTTTCATTGCCTACTTCCAGATTAGCAAGCTGCAGACAAGGCAAACAAGTAAATTCCCTGCTGGGAATATGAATTCTGACATAGCTTAATTTCAAAGTGTTGACATTTGATACTATTTTTACATACATATGCACTTAATTCTGCCCAAACCAACTGCTTTTAAAAGCCAACACTAACAAATATGAAAGTCTTGTCTCAGCCACTGCTTGATCACTTTTCCACTTGGGAATATGTCTATCTTCCTTTAAATTACAGATGATGACAACCAGCAATAACAGCCACCTTCTCAGGCACAGGAAGCTCAGCACTGTCACTGATGGGATCATTGCTTCACTGCTCCTACAAAGAAACTGCCTTTATAAAAGGAAGTACTCTATCAACTAAAGAAGCACTTGTGGTACATAATTAAAATGTGGTAATAATGGGTTCCACGTATTATCTGCTATTTTTCACATGAAACCCCAGTACCTTACTGAAAATATACAAAGAATTCACCTCATCAGCATTCCAAATTAGCTTAAAATATTTGTATTTAACTGAGTCTTGTAAATATACATTAAGATGAAAGTTTTACTAAATTATGTATCCAGTTGTTCTTGACCAGTCGCCCATTAAAGAAATTTTCTGAGACTTCTTTAAAAACTTTAGAAATAGACATAAACTGGATATAGATTAATAGATATAAATTGGATCTCTTATTCCAAAAAATTTTGACCACAAGGTGAAAGATATTAAAGCTTGTCACTTCTATCCTAGTAAAAAACACTAAAGACCTAAGCAATAAATTTAATTCTTTGTACTTGAGCAATGGAGATGCTTTACATGATACTCAGTTACTGAAATTCTGCAAGAAAATTAGAGAGAGAAATATACTGTATTGTCATAATTTTCTAAGGAAAAGCTTAAAAGCTTATTGCAATCAGCCTTCAGATCCTTAGCACATAAGCCAAGGAGATACCACTTTTCCCCACCACATTTTTTCAGTTTCCTGACCAGCATATGCTATCCTAGCACATGGTCTATAAAAACATCTTCCATGCTAGAAAAAGCTATTTTGAACCTCACAGACATTAGCAATTTGAAATTTGGTCTATATAAAAAAAAACCTCAACACCTATTCATTATATCCACTATTGAATTTTACTGTTTTTAAGTGTCTGCCTTATATAAATAGATTTACAATTATGTTATTAAGAAAATAAAAAAAAAAACAGCTGCTGGAGGAAATAAGTTAACATAATTTATAAATGCAATACATAAATGCAACTAATTAATTATATGTAACCTGAAGATCAGGCTTAAAAATGCATAAATAAAACCCAAACAATTATTTATCTAAAATAGCCATCTTCAGGTTTGCTTTTCAAAAACAAACTGACTTTTTATTATAAATCAAATGAAATTTAAATTCCAAAATTAATTTAAGATGACAAACATCTAAGTAAAACTTTAGGGTTTTTTTTTCCTGAAATATAGGGCACAAAGTAGAGTAAGTTCTGCATCCAAAACCAAATACCTGGAAGTCAGCAAAACACAGTGGAAGGCAGTGGGAGCTTCCAAATCTTTCCAAGCCTTTAAAGTACCCAAAGATGTCCTGTACAGAGATTTGCTTCACTTGAAACCCTTTTAACCAATCACAAGAGTCCCTGCAGCTGAAGCAAAATCTGTGAGGCTGAAAAAACCCCACAGCTCAAGCAAAGAGGTTTGAATTTTACTTCAAAGACATCACTGCTTTTCTATATCAATGAAGCTTTGGGTAGAAAATAATCAAAATCTACTTAGAGCCACAATCATACTCCATATATTTTAAATGGAAGCAGACTATAAATTTGTAGGGGCCTTAAAGTGAGTTTCCTAAAAATACTATGTAAAATTTTCCAAAGGTTGCCTGACTTTTCACCAGTTAAAAATATTTACTTCATATACAACCCATTCTTCTCTTCTAGACAATACCAGTTTGCACTCCAAAGTGGTTCATCAGCTAAAGCACATAAAGCATTATTCAGTCACCAGACCATCTCCCTTGCTTTTTGGTTTTTGTTTGTTTGCTTGTTTTCTTCTGAAGGAAGGAAAAAAGGTTGAATATAGCAGTCAACTTTCTTTGTTAATGTAACAAAATCTATTTAAGAACACAGTAAGGCAGTGCCCTTGGTAACAGACAAGTTGTTCCTTCTAAGTCAATACAAATAGACTTGTATCCTTTGTCTTCATTAACTCTAGAAGGCACCTAGGGAAATCAGCAGAGTTAGGCTAAAATAAGGTTTTGGAATGCTGCTGAAGAGCCGTAAAAATTCTCTCTCCTCACAGAGTTTCTCCTCTCATTTAGGGAAACCTTTTTTTTTGTGAGTTTTATAGAAGACAAACACAAATTATCTCCTAATTCAGGAAGTCCCTTAATCTCCTTTACTCACAAAAGACTTAGGAACCAACAGGAATATCAAACAGATTACCCTAAGTGGAGTCCTGCTCAGTAATGTGCATTTTTAAGTGACACATGCCTTGTACATCAGAGTGGAGGTTGGCACTAACCAATGATTTTAAACAACTGGAAAGTGTTGCACACCTTGCCATTTGGCAGCCTAGGAAACAAGTTCCAAAGTCATTTCCCTAAAAGGACTTGCACATACATTATTATACAAACAAATCAAAAGAAGCAGGGTAGCCTGGCTCAATGATATTTAAATAAATAAGGAAAATTTTATATGTATAATGAGATATAAATCTTGTTATCCTCAGTAAAGCTCCCCTGCTAGTGGAGGAACAAGGGACACTTCTACCCTACATTACAGCAAAAGTCTCTGTATTTCACCATAACAAGAAATCCTGCTCTGGGGTAACATCAGTTTACTATGCCCTCTTGTCTTCCTGAACTGCAACTCCATTAAATTCATGAACTGGGAACCAAACCCAAAAGCCCAACAGCTTTACTGATTCCACAAAGAAATCCCCCACTGTTAGCAATGGCAATAATTGACATGAAGAGCAAGTACTCTGTACTCACATAAAAGCAATAACTCTAAGTGAAAACAGACCACATCACAATCCTGGAATTTATGAGATTCCAATTTTACCAGCTGGAAAATACAGTACTTAGAAGGCAAGTATTACAGAGCTATACTCTTGATTGCACCCATCACTCTAATTGGAAAACTAGATCTCTAAATCTTCATTTTGACACTTTTAGTTATGCCCTTCAAGCCTGGATCTGAATCCTGAAATATTTAAGCTGATAAAACAGTGAGATTGCAATACTCAAAGCTACTTTTCAGCTAACGAGAATCTTTCTGTGTAGCTTAAGCTGCCAGAAAACAAAAACCTGTCTTACCTATATACTGGCTCCAGGAGGGCTGCTTAAAGACCCAAAACATGAACTCACAGCACAGCTTTCCTGTTCCTTCCAGAAGTTATTTTTGGAGGGAATGAGCCCACACATCAAAAGAATTTGGGATACTGCAGGGAAACAGTTTATCTGCCTCCAGCTGGTATCTGCTCTGTGTCTAGGCCCAAAGGATACACCCTGTTACAGACAGCATCTTTCAATTGATGTCAACTGGCAGACCCTTCAAGACTTTTCAAACTGCTTTCCCAAGCAAAGATTAACTCTGATTTGATTTAGCATCTGAGCTTACTCACAGAATTAGTCCCAAGGACTTGCAGCTTTGGTTCGCCTGATTCCAGAAGCTTGGCCACCATATGAAGGAAACTTTCCACAAATGGTTTTATGCTTTGAGAATGGCAAGCCATTAGAAGTTGGTCCAGTGCCTCCATGGCAATTAAAACATAACTGAAAATTAATTAGAGAGACACATAAAAATGTATTGCATTTATCATTAACTCAATTAGTTCACCTTAGGATCTTACCACAAAAAATAGAAAGAAAGAATGGAAGGTGCATATTTCCCATTGCATAAAAATGACACTTGGAGCTATTTTCTACATCCATATTTTCTCTCTTTTTTTCTTTTTTTGGGAGGAGATGGGGTGGTGTAGGAGGGAGGGATGTATAGAATTCAGTGCTGGCTATTTACCCTTTCTATAAAGTTATAAAAACAGCTTTGGATGTCATAATGGCCAAAAAAATGGTGGTCTGTGATGGATGTTGCTTTTCTTTAACAATTCCTGTCACTTCTTAGACTTAATATTTCTCACTTAAATATTTGATTTAGCCAAAAGGGCTGAAAATAAAGATAATGCTGTTTTCCTATGTCCTTACTGACATTCAAGGGTTTATTTGGCTTACATAGCCAGGTTTTGTCAGCAAGGAGCTGCAGGGTTGGTTTCTGTCAGAAACCAGGAGTTGTCCCCATGACACACACAGCCAGCTCCAACACTGACCCCCAATTTCCCAAACCTGAGCCCCCCAAGGATGCTCAAAGTGCCCACAGGTAATCAGATCCACAGTGCAGAGCATGGAGGACCCCCTGCTGGAGCAGGTGGCTGTGCCTTGAAGGAATCTGCTGCCCACAGAAAGGCCCTGCTGGAACAGGAACAGGCTTCTGGCAGGCCCCATGGAGAGCAGCCCCTGCAGGAGCTCCTCTGGCAGGATCTGTGACCCCATGGGGGACCCATGCTGCAGCAGCCTGCTCCTGAAGGACTGCACCCTGAGGAAAGAAGCCATGCCAGAGCAGTTCTTAAAGGACTGCCTACAAGGACAGAGCCAAGGCCAGAGCAGGGTAAGAGTGTGAGGAAGAAGGAGCAGGAGACACAAGATGGTATCAGCTGACCATAGTCCCCTGTCCTAATCTGCACTGCTTGGTGGGGGTAGAGGCAATAGACCTGGGAGTGAAGTTGAGCTTGGCAAGAAAGATGGCTGGAGGACAGATGTTTTTAAGCTCTGCTTTAATTTCTCATTATCCTACTCTGTCATTAATTGTCAATAATTAAATCAATCCTCCCCAAGTTAAGTCACTCAGTTCCATCATGGGGAAAAAGAGATCTCCCTGTCCTTATCTCAACCCATGAGCTTTCCATTTTATTTTCTCTTCCATCTGGCTGAGCAGGAGGATGAGAGCCGCTGGATGGGCACCTGGCAGTCAGACAAGGGTAACTGACCACAAAGGGACTGTGTCTGCCTTGCTTTCCAGACTTGATCAGAACAAACGTGATGAAATTCCATGACTTGTTTGCATCTATTTTTAATGACTTCTCTCCTTACCCATAGCGATGTCTGGCCACATCCCTGGTCAGTCTCTCTGCCAGGTAAGCCCCAATTCGATCCAGCTTCTCTGGGGCAGAAACTGCATAGAAAGTCAGTTTCTCCATGTCAGCTTTAACAAGACCATCCTAGAAACAGAAATACAAAATAAAAAATTAGTGAGTTCATAGGAAATATAAAGCTTTCCAAGTGTTCTTCGTTTTTTTCTAGTTAATATTTAAAGGTCAGAGCAATCAGAGCCTTACAGATGGAAATAAGCTACTGAAAAAACTCCAAAACTATTGAGCAAAACTGCCATAACCTTAGCTCAAAAATCAGCAACATGAAACAACTAAAATATTTTTAAAGGAAATGAGTATTTTAAGAGAAGGTATGTAGTGAGATATGTGACCAGTTCTAAGACACAGTTCTTTCCTAACAGCATAATGTAATTTTTTCTCTTCCCATCCCCCCACCAGGTATATTCAATGTATAATTTTGATAAAATATACAAACAAGATTGTAGTTTAAACATTTAATATTGTAGTTTAACTGTTTTATTTCTTCTGTGTCAGATCTTGAACAAGGCTGGCCCCCAGGCATCTGAGGGCTAATTGTCAGAACGAGATCAAAGATTAAGATATTAGTTCCAACATAAACCATAACATGGATCTGCTCAGATGAGGTTATAATCATAATTATCAGGTAAACAGAATAAGCCTTTTTGTCTTTTTTTTCCCCCCGGAAGTTCATAAAAACATTTATTTTTCAAATAAAATACTTATAATCTTTTCAGACATTCATTATTGATTAATGAACTTTATCAAGCAAATCTTCTGATACTATATAGAGAAGGTGTGCAACTGAAGGGAAACATCATGAACTGGCCTGTGTCCTCCACTGGCCCTATGAATACTAACCAAAGCAGAGACTAAGAAGTGCCAACTCAGAGCAAATGAGTCAGATTTGAACTAAAACACTACAGCTGTAGCATTTCCAGGTATTTCTACATCTGTATCAAAAACTAGACTAGAACAAAAAAACCTATAGACCCATACTGTTCCATGCACTCAATATATTGTATACACAGAAAAAAATTTCTTTTAAAGCTAGTATTATGCACTTACATAATACCTGGCACTGAGTAAGATCATCATTTAAAAAAAAGCCAACATACTTTGTAAACATAAACCAAATATTACACAAATACTGACTGTGCTGCTTACTTCTACTATAACAAAAGATATAAAAATTTGGTAACACACTTAAAAAAAAAAGAGCAGCAGAAACATAAGCTCTTGATCAGTCTGAACTGTCAAGTGATTATGCATAGACACATGCATTCCTCCATAGTAAACAGAAGTTATTTATTTTCACAGAGAGTAAGAGTTAGGCTTTAATATAGCTCCAAGACTGTTACAGTGAAATGAAAAAATAAAACTGTAGATGAGTATCTGGAAAAATTAAAAAAAAAAAAACCCAGAAAAACCTTTCTGGGTCACAACAGACTACCAGAACTATAAAAATGTTCATAGTCAGTAAGTCAAGAGTTAAAAAATTAAAATCCTGTAGAAAATCAGAAAATGTTTACACCTGCAACCACAAGAAAGCAATTGTTTGTGGTTCTAAAAAGTGATGAAGTTAAGTGCTACCTCTGCAGCAGAACACCTTGTTTAATGAAATCTCTGTTTCTCTGAGCAAAACATACTAATTTTATCCTTTAGTGTGCATCCCTGCTTTGGAAACGGAATTAGACCAGATGATCTCCATGGATCCCTCTCCAGATAAATTATTCTACTAACCTCTCTTAAAGCTATTAAGCGCTAAAGCAGAATTTATGGTAAAATATTAAAAGTGAAAAGAAAAAAGAAAATTTAAAAAAACTGCTAAAGCACAAGGTATAATCACAGATTTTCAGACACCAATCCTTTGAAATTTTCAAGTCATGACTCACTTTAGGATCTTCAGGAAAGATGTTGTCTACCAGACGCTTGTAGCGAGGTCGCAGCGCAGCACAGCAGCAGCAAACTCCTGCGGAGAGATTTACCCAACGGGATTTAGGATGCACTCCTAGGGACTCATTGGAAGGGACAAGCTGACAAGCATGGAGGAAGAAGATAACACTGAATTCAGCTTGCTATCAGCAAGAAAGCAAAACCAAGGGAACTGAAAGTTCAAGTAAGTCAATAAGCAAAACGACTGACACACTGCAATACATGAGACAATATGCAAGGATTGCGGGTACCAGAAATGCACCTGCCATCCACACTTCAAAACATGCAGAAAAGTCAAGGAATTTTAAAATTGAGTCGTATTAAAACCAAAGCTACTGCATTTGCAGGTTTATCTTCACTCTGAAAGACTGTTTCAAATCACCCAAATGTGCATTATGTGCATTATTCTAAAAAAAAAAAAAAAAAGAAAACAAAAATGAAATCTGTTTTAAAGGCACCCATATAAATCAAAATATACAAAACATGCTCTGCCTTCCTTATCCATCCCTTATCCTTCCTTTTACTGGGCATCAGTGAAATGACAGTCACTTGAAGCAGAGAAATGAGTTTTTTTGATCTCATTACTCTACTACTAATCCATATAATCAGAACAATCCATGTAACTTCAATTTTATTAATTTTAAAAGTCATACTGTCTGCTTTAAAAGGTAACAAACCTGCAGACCATTGTTTGGTCCTTTTTCTAGCACTAAGAACTAGTAGAAGTTTGGAGTTAGGTTAAAACTCAGCACAAAAGAAAAAAAAAGGTTTCTATGTATCTGTCCAACTGTTTATCAGGGTTGTTACTCCCTTGTTTTTAGTGCAGATTCTGTCTTTCAAGTCGCAACACCTGAAGGATTCAGAGCAGCTAAATACCTTACAAATGTCTTATTAAAGATTTCCACTTACATATTCAAAAAATCTTTTAACACTGCTAAAAACAGTAAAAAAGGCAAACAATAAAGGGTATCTTGGCAGAAACTTTTGATGATTACAATTCCTCTGCAAAAGCATAAACACTTGCACTTTTTTACTTAAGATATCTCAGTAATTAAAGTAGTTTTTAACCATACTTATCAGAACATATGGGAAGTTCATAACAAAGATTTCACCTGCTGTGCTTAGTTTTAATTACAAGACTCTATGGGAGTAGACATTCTCCCTCAATTACAACTGTTTTCTAATACTATTGTCTCTTGGACAAAAAAATGTATTCTGCTCATACTTTGACAATTCTTGCCACTTATTTAATCAAAACCAATTATTGAATACAGATCTATGATTTTAAAACTGTGCCTTAACTCCAAGTACTCCCCAATGGACTTGAATTCTGCCCGGATTATGAATTAAGAGTCCTGTACCACCAGGAACATCAACACTGACTTATTACTTCAATAGATAATTATGAAAATAAAAAGCACTCAAGGAATAAACAACTGAAATATTGAGAATTTTTTGTTAAACAGTACTTTGTAATACTGTCAAGTTCTTCATACCACTCTTGCTGATGTCTTACTCATGGAGGTCTAACAAATGTAAAAATCAACATTTACATAAAACCTGCAGGTATGAAGTAGATAAAATCAAAGTTCTTCAATATGCTGGAAAATGTAGGTATGAAAAGAGGTTAAAATCCTACTTGACTTAAAATAGAATAATTTAGACAGTGCTACAAATACATTCTATTGAGAGCAATGCTGTGCAACCTCTTAGAAGTAAGAAAAATCATAATAAAAAAGGAGTACTGTATTAGTGTCTTGTATACCACTCCATATTGGGAAGTTCAAGTAAGAGCATCAACATCCACCAAACCCCACATATTATTGCTAAACATTTCTTGAAGTAGGTATGCAACTCTGCAGCACTCTGGCCCAGCACTCTTTGTACTTGGTTTTCTACCTTATGGTTGACCATTAACTTTGGCCCATGGTAAACAGCATGTTTGATTAGTACTAAATATAACAAAATATTCTAACAATAACTGTAGCATACAACTACCTAAAACACAACAAGAGCAGGAAAACAATCTGAAATATTGCAAGACAGGAAATTAAAAATACTTTTTAGAATTACTTTCTCCCTCTTTAAGTGACAGAAGAAGAAAATCTTTGCAAAGAACTGCAATTTAAATCTTAAAATGGTGTTTCAAACCTGTGTTAATTACATAAATTTAACATGAAATCTGGATCCAGTTACTTCTTTGAGATGGATAAAAAAGATCAGGTAACAGTACCAACTCATTCTGACAGCCTTACCAGATGGTTTCATTTAATGGAAATATATTATTGCTTTATTGAAATACTGCTCTCCAAATTTATGGAACATAGTGAATTTTGACACCAAAAAAGGCCTAAGAGTAAGTATGCATATGATTTGAAATTTTGTCCTCATCTTGGGTTTTGGTAGCGTCTTTAAATTGCTATGTATTTAATTATGGAACTGTTTATGTAGAAAAAAAAACATAAACTTGTCAAAAATTTTTTATCATCAAAGTACAAACGTAAAACTACAATGTTATTACCATCAAAAGAACTTCCTACATTAAACAGAACATTCAAGTATCAGAAAGTGAGATTTAATCTGTCAAAGTTTTCAGCCTCCAAGCAGAGCACTGTCACATATAAAACTGACAGGCACTCCAAACAACACAGAAATAAATGACAACCTAAATCAAAAACCAGAATAGTTAACAGTCACGACACAGATTTTGTGGGAAAACTACTAATCATTGCTCAGTTATATCATTTTGATATAAGCATGAAAGGTTAAAAAAAAATCATAGGAATAGGCTTAAAGAATGCATGAATATTTAAAACCAACAACAACAAAAAGACAACAAAACAAAATTCCCACAAGATCAAGTCAACAAACTACATTAAAAGTAACCCATGAAATTTAGGAACATACATGGACCAAAAGGATGAATCTTGTCAAAGATGGATAGAAGCTGAGCAACTGAAAATGGATTCCCTGCTTCTTGGATACCAATTTAACAATAAGAATTTATTTGGATAAACGCATTCATTTGGATAAACAAGTTCATTTCACATAAACAGACTGCTTTGTAGGTCTATAGAACACAGGCCAGAAAAAAACCTGTTCCATTTTATGCAGGTTTACTGAGGAAAAATCCTATGGCAATTCCTTTATAATGTCAGACAAAATTTACATTTTAATGGCCTCCCCTTGCACACATCTTTACATCATTTTATGCAAGTAAATATAAAGGTTAAAGCAATATCTACAGAGAATCCTGCACTGTAACATGATAGTTAATGTATAAGGTTTAAAAAATATTGTTTACTTCTCCAGTAGTTAGATTTTTATCAAGTTCAAACATGCACATTCTCTTCTGCTTAAGAAGTCCAATAATCTGCATTTTTCATGTTAGAACTGTACACCTTTACCAGCTGCACAGGTACTTCTTTTTACACATATTTATTCTACACAAGAGCAGTAAGACACAGCCCCGCCATCAGAAAATGGTAATTTCACCTACCCAAACACATACATGGCCTCGGCTCAAAAGCAGAATTATAATCATAGGCTTTTTCTTGCTCAACAGTTGGAACTTGCACATACTGCCTCATCCTGGATGTGAATCCACTCTGGGGGAACTGTCTCCTTGCCCAGAAATGTTCTCTCTCGCACAGCTGCAGTTCCTTCCTGCCAGGGCTCTGCAACACTGTAAGCTTATCTGATCAGCTCAGTGACATCTGCATAAAGCCACCAAACACGTGAAAAACCTCAGTATCAAATTCTGTTAACAAGGCCAGGCACAGGGAAAGAGCAAAGAAAAAAAGATTTATTGTTAATGTGTGATTCACACACATTCCTCCAAAGAAACTGCACAGGCAGTTTCATCACTTCAACTTGCCTGGAACACACAGCTCATTACTTCTCTGACTAGAAGTAAAAAATCCATATAGTTCCAGGTAAAACTATCCTCAGACAGCTGGCACATATCACTGTAGAGTGATAAATATTTTAGCAAAACCTACTCACTTGGTCTTCCTGGAGAATGGATACAGAGTAGTGTATTTAAGGCAGACTAGTACTGACCAAAAAGACTTTCTTAAACAGAAAGGTTTACATCTAAGATTAAAGAAACAATCTAAAAATAATGAAATTAACATTATCTCTAATAATACTTCCTAGTTTAGGAAGCAAGGATTACAGAATTTAAATCATTAACATGATTATGATCCAGCAGGTAGAAAATCAATTTTCAGTTAAGCAATTCTGAAGTTACTTTCCAGCTTCCCATTAATTCTCAGCATTTTATTGTTTTACTTCCTACATTACATCCACTTGGGATACACAAATACAGGATTTGCATAAAGACATTTTTATAAACCCTGAAAATTATAAGTACTGTTTTTAATAAAAACATAGCTAATAATTTCCACTACATAAAAATTCGATATCTGTCCAACACTTAAAAGATTAGTGTTAATAAAATCAGAGAAAACACTGGGCTGCACAGAAAGTATCCACACACAGTTTACTACAGGAAACCCTATGCTGAAATTAGAAAAATCGCAATACAATAAAGCTGTATTTCAAAATAGTGTGTCTGAATATTTGTGCTGTATTTTACTCATACAAAATTACAGGAAAACAAAAGTTTCATAAAACATAAAAGACTAAGTTCTGCCAATTGAGTTTAAAACTGCCACATTTTCTTCTATCAAAACCTAGGGAAAAAAAATCATCTGTTTTATCTAATGCTGGAAAAAACTTCTTCCATAGTTTTTTCCAAAACTTCTTCCATAGTTTTGTCATGTTGTCTAATATTATTGTCAACTGTTTACAGAGCATTAATAACCTGAAGCAAGATTTCATGTTCACTCCCTGAATATTTTTATTATGTCCCAAGCTTGGATGTGGTCATCCCCAACTTTATTTGAAATTGTTGAAGCTTTTTTTAAAAAATCATATTCTATCAAAAATGGTGCAATTAACATAGAAGTTTCAATCTACAGAAAAATGCATGTTTTGCTAATATCAAGCAACGCAGCAATATTAAAATTATAT